GCAAATAAACAAAAATAAAAAAAACTTTTTCTAGTCTTCTTAAAATATAGAATCGACAAAGTTAAAGCGATTTCCTCCGCTTGATCGTTATCCTGTAAAACCACTGCTCTTTCCTAGCTTAAATTTCCACTTGAATGCCCACTGCTTTTAACGAGTGGTGATGTCGCTAAATGGCGATGGCAAATTCACTGCGAGGTTTGGATTCAAACTTTGCCGGCAATTATGAGTTAATAAGAATCTGCCTTCATTGATTAATAAAGAATTGGCTGTTAGAGCAATTTTCGAAGTGCGTTGATGATTTATCACAAGCAAAATAGTCGATCAAAAAAAGGATTCGATTATTATCACAAAACGATGGTATCCATGAAAAAAAAAAACTGGAAAAGAACTGGATGCGATATCTATCATTGCTCTATGAAAGCGATAAAAGCTCCATGCGTGCAATCAAAATAAAAATGGAATTGAGCCCAATCTAAAACTAGCTTTTTTTTCGCAAAATCGATTTAGTAGTGCTCAAAACTATAAATGATAAGACTTAGAAAAAGACTTTTCTCAGTTGGAAAGAATTAGTGCTTATCACATAAACACAAAATTTTACTCCACCAAATCTTGGAAATTTTTGGAATTTCCATATATGAAGAGCAATGATGATGAAGTCAACATTGATAATATTGAAAAGTCAACAATAATTTATATGCTAGCGATATGATAAATTAAATAACGATGAGGCATTTTTCATTTCTGAAATGGAAAAACGTGGTTAATAAATGATAAACGTTGATAATAAATGAAAGGCAAAAAATTGTGGCGATTGGGCAAACTAAATAACAAAAACTAGGATTCTCGTTCAAATAGTACTTATTTTCATCAAATAATATTCAAACGATTTTATTTTAGCTTTGCCTATATGCAAAATATAATCGGTAATAAATAATAATTTAAATGGCGAATTTATTCAATAAAATGCATATTGCCGGAACTTTGACTTCCAATTAAAATTCTCATTATCAACATTATTATTATTAAAAAATTAGAACGAATATTATTATTAAAAAAGAATTTTAAAAAAATTATTAAAATTATTTCGTTTCAGACAAACTTGATTAAATAAAAGATGAGAAAAGTATAAATGAAATAAATGAATAAGTCGAAAGAAAAAAAAGAGATCCATTACGTTTTCAAATGAATTCTCTATGTGCGAATATATGTTAAAGAATTTTGAAAAATAATTCAAAAAAAATTTCCAATAAATTTTTCTTTGTTGTGGATTTTCTTAAAATTATTTCTAATCACTAAAAATTTAAGAAAAATCAGTAAAATTAGGGAAATTTTTAAATATTGAAATGTTTTTTTCTGTTATTTTAATCATTCGATTAACATAAATTAAAAATTTTTCTTTTTCCTATGCAAAATTTTATTTATCCAATTTTTATAAATCGGATAAATTGGATAAAAAGTTTTTTATATTTATTCTTTTACCTTGCTAAGTAAACATTTGCCACTAATTTGTAATGTGTTAAAACTATTTCAGGCGATATAGCAAAAAAGAGATCTTCCTAAAATAACAAATTAAATAACTATGAAAATAAAAATATAATAAATATAACAATATAAATATTGTAATATAATATAATATAAGGTCGATTTTTATATTAATTGTAATATGGTATAAAATAATAAATTTTTACAATTAATTCCACTAATTTTTGCAAATAACAATTGCAAATTTAAAACCAAAATTTAAATGAAAAAATCGCCAAATCAATTACGCAAAAATTATAAAATCTTTTTCTAATTTTATGAAAATTCTAATTTTTTTGGAAATTCTAATTTTAAAGAAGAAAATATTCGATGAAATCTTAGAAAAATCCATTATATTATATATTATAATTAATAGTTTTTAATAAATAATAATATTACAAAAAAAAAAAATAGTCGAATGTTAGTTTGTGGTAGAAATGGAATGGCTTAATGCGTTCATTGCTCTCATTTCAAAGCGCTGTTGCTGATTCTAATCCTTACAAGAATGAATTCATCTTTGAGAAATCCTCTTGCTTTGGCACTATCGATATTTATATCGCCAACTGATTCCCTAGCAAAATTTGCCTGACAAAATAATGGAGCAAATTCTAATCAAAAATGATAAGCGCTTTTCAATAAAAAAAAATTAATTTGATGTTGAAAAAATTATTCGATCGATTAGCATTTCTTTACTAAAAAAAGCTAACTTATGAACTAATTTAAAAGTGAATTAATTAAGCAAAATCGTTAAAGAAGAAAGGCAAATCATAGAAACTGAAAAATGATGGAGGCGTAGAAAAATTCTTAGAAAATTCGTTTCATAAAGCAAAAATGAAATAAATTTGTACAAAATTTTTGCAAATTCGCCTATTCGCTTACGTGCAATTCGTATAATCGGCATTTATAGGCGGAAAATTCAAATATGAAGACTGTTTTAGCAAAGATCATTGAGTTCTATCCGTATTATATATACGAGGAATTGATCGCTGATCGCTCTTATCAATTACCTTTTGTCTTCGCAGATGTCTTAAACAATCGTTATTATAGAGTCCTTCAGAATTAATTTTAATTCCAAATAATTGGAAAAAAATAAAATAATTGAAAAAATTATTGCTCATTATTTGATTATTTTTGAATACTTATTAATTAATTACAATACCTAAGAATTCATTTTGCATCGATAATTTATTCATTTTCAATATTAATGAAAAGTTTAGTCCAACGAATCGTGAAAAAATCAAAATTATTTCATTTTTCTTTTAAATAAAAAATTATTAATAAATAAATGTACTTCAAATATAAAAGTATAAAATTTGGTTATTTATTCATAATTTTCATTTTTCCATTTTAATTTATCGTTTAATTACGAAAGCAAATAATTTTGCATAACAAGTACTTGAATGCTCAAATATTTCCTCCTCCAAAAGCAAATAAGAAAATAATTGCATTCAGAATAATTGGTAAACATTTGAAAAATATAGAAATGGACTAAGCAACAACAAATGTCATGCGGAATAAGGGTCGCACGATAATTATATTTTACTAGAGGCGATAAGTTATTTTTATATAATGATAAAAATGATAATAAATAATGATAATAATGATAATTAAAATAATAATCGATGCATATACAATGAGTATAAAATTATATAAAAAGTCAAAATCAAGATTACAAATCTAGAAATCATTGGTTTTACGATATTTAAATTTTCAAAAATGTCTGATAACATCTGATAAAATAAAATAAAATCGCTTCTTAATTTCATAAATCTTGAGATTTATAATTCTATTTTCATAGAATTTTACAAATTTTTCACTAATTCATCATCGTTCACTAAATGTGGTACAAATTTGTAACGTTAGAGCAAACTGATAATTTTCTACGATCTTTATCACTCTTTATACGTTCTTTCATTTTAAAACATCATGCACATCAGTTGAATTTTTATGTTCTAAATAATTTGTATTTTGAGCTTGGTGTTACCTTCATTTGAAGTTGCTACTTGGGGATAATTTTCATCTGACACTGGAGATTATCGCTTTCTGCACCACCACATTATCTTTAAATATTCACGTAACAAGAGATAATTTATTGTGCGAATGAGATAATTTACTCCGAAGCAGTCATTTTTCATAACTCTACAAAAACATTTCGAAACAAGCTGAATTTTTTATAAAATTGATTTTTTCGTCAAAGCTTCAGCTGAAACATTCTTCTTCTTGAAATTTATGAAATAAAATTTAAGCAATGAGATTTTTGTAGACGTTAAAAAAATTGAATTTAATCGTTGTAAAATAAATGATTTTAAACTTTATTTAATTTGCCGACAGCTGAAGTCTGATAATTTACTATATAAATTAAAGCAAATTTTGATAAACATCGCGATGATTTAATGATTTAATGATTAAACAAGATAAAATTTGCACTCGTATATGTCTTTTCATATGAAAAACAAATATTTTAAGAAAACATCCTCATTTATTCCAACCTCGAAAAGAATATTTTACTGAAAATAACCGGAAGTCTGGTAGCTTAAGGATTGTGCAATACCTTCGATGTTCCTAAAATTGCGCTCTTCTGGATAGAAATCTCTGATTCCTGCAATCCACTGAAGCCATTTTTTTAAATTAAAGGTCACAACTCCTAGTGTTTTTATCACCACAGTTATTATATCCATATGTACTAGACAAATGCTGTCGATATTTGTCGGATTATTAAAGCTGATGCAATCAATGGTATTCATTTCTTTCATCATGAATGATTAAAAAAGATAAAATTTGAAATCGTATATGTTTTTTCATATAAAAAACAAATATTTTAATATTAAGACTAAAAAATTTTAATTAAATTTTAATTATTAAGCTGCTTCCGCAAAAGATTGGGATCGAAGCAAGAGGCTCGGCAATAGTTTAGCTTAATCTTCAGTAAGTCGAGCCAAACCAACAATGGTAGAAATTAGTAATTGTTTACTACCAAATAAAACTCAAAAAACTTATTTTTTTACAGAAATTTCCATTTTTTCTGAGGAAAACAAAAAGAAAAAATAAAATTTGGAAATTACAAAAGAGAAAAAAGAGAAATTTTGTGAATAAAATAATCGAAGCGAGCAAATGTTTTAACAATATTTTTAAAATTAATTTTATTTTTAAGTCAGAAGTTTGTAAGTGATTTGATTGATTTGTGTCTTCACAACGAGTGTTTTATTATTATTTTATGTTCAAATATCTTCAAAATCGAAATTTTAAGTTAAAAAAAATTAGCAAAATTTTCTTTTTTTTTTTAGGAATTTTATGAATATTTCAAAAGTTTATTGAGTAAATTTTTATTACTTAAACATATTAAATAAACCACTTCTAACATAAAAACTATTATTAATATTAGAAAAAATTAAAATTTATTGACACGAATTTCATTTAAAATGTTTACTTTACTCATCGAATTCTTATAAAAACTCTTATAAAATAAAAATTCATTGAAATCAATGATGGAAGAGACGAATTCCAGTATGAATTAGTGTTATGCCATGTTCATTACAAGCTTTTATAATATCGTCGTCACGTTCGGAACCACCGGGACTTGCTATATATTTAACGCCATACTGCAAATTTTAATGCAAAATTATGTATTTTTATTTGGAAATTTAGTAAGAACTAAAGGCGAGCTGATGAGAAAATAAGAAATAATATGAGAGTCCATTTCATCGAAGCATACATTTGAGCCTAAGATTCTTATTTTCCAACTAAATGAAGGTGAGTGATTTTGCCTCTTTCAAAGGCTATAAATAATAGTGGTAAAATTAGATAGGCGTTAGGCTTCCATTGATCTTTCGGTCGACTCATGAATGAGGACCGCAATTTATTTCACAATTGGAAAAGACCAATGTTTGCATTTTACAGTAATAGTGGAACGAGCTAAACCAACAATTAGGTAGGTTTTCGAGCGACTAGAAGAATAAGAAATATACTACCAAAATCGACTATCACAGTTAAAGAATTTAATAATTTTTTTTTAAGTTATTTCTGAAAAGAAGAAATTTATTTCGATTTTGTTTTTAAATTCACTTATTTGTATAAAATTCGAAATTCAAAATTATTAGAAAAATAAAGTTTTTCACAAATGATTTTATCAAATATTTGTTTTAGTTGTAAGTTAGCAAATTAAACTAAATATTAACTTTGCTTGCACAATCGATATTATCACGAAATGGAAAGAATCCATCGGAACTCATAACAATATTGCACATTTTATTCATCCATTCTTTTCTTTCATCCTTAAATTCATTTCTCGAAAGGAAAAAAGTGATTTGAAAGGCCAACTGATATTACTCCTTTAAATTTTTTTTTTTAAATTGTATAGTTTTGTTTTTAAATTTTTTTCTTTTTTCATTAAAACATTGAAAGACAAACGAAGCTAAATGGTTGAACAATCTCTGTGAAATTGTTTCTCCACTTTTCGAGTGCAATATCATTCGCATCAAATCCTGTTATCATCATATCAATAGCATTAGATTTATCAATTCTTTTACAATTTGCTTTCCATGGTAGATTTAAAACTCGATCATGCTGTCGCAAAGACCTTAAATTAACTTTTTTTTGACAATCACAAAAATTATTTAGATGAATAACTATGAAAAATTTTTGAATTTGAGCAATTTATTAACCATTTTTAAAAATTTTTTCTCGATTCCAACGATAATAATAAAAAATAAATAAACTATCCATTCGCTGATTAATAAATATTAAAAATAAACAATTCAAGGAAGAGCGATTTTATTTGGATTTTTTGAATGGTTTAAGAAGTGATTTATTATTGTTTTATGGATTTGGTTCCATTTGTATAATAATATTTGATAAATTGATGGGCGTTTCAGTGAATTCTTTTAAGAGTTTCGATGAACTGGTGAGAAGTCCAGTCATTCAGATGACCAACACTTGTCGTTAGCAATGAAATTTGCACAATATTTTATTATTTCTTTTGCGTTTGCTGTTAATTCATTACTTATGTTTCCACGAAGTAAGTGAAAATTTATTATTCGGAGAATGTAAATCAAAATTTATTAAAAATTAAAAATTTAGCTAAAATAAATTAGAATTTAATAGAATAATTTATCATCAAAAAGTAATTGATGGAAATAATTATTTCCGAATCATGCTGGCCTGTATTTCGATCGCTAGGGGATTCCCATGGCAAAATTTATCAGTCCCGATAAGCCAACAAAGCGAGCTAAACTAGTATGATAAGCACTCTCACCAAAAAATCTTATCAAATAGCACAAGCCAAATAAGCGATTCGTTTTATATTTGTATCTGAGCAATTAATAAATTCAGTAAAATGCCAAAACCTTTTTTATATTAACATTTCGATGTGCAGTTTTGAGATTTCTATCATTAATTCGCGAAAACCATGAATTTCTAGTTGAATTTACGAATGACTGCCTAAGAGCAATGTGTGAAGCGGATTCTGGATGCGTTCCGAAGGGATGTTCCAGAGACACTCATGGACGCCTCGGTTGTGGATATTTCAGAATAAATATATATCAATTTAAAGTAAATTTTCACCTATTTTTAGTTGATGATATTAGCTTTCAAATATCACAAAATATATCTCAGCTATTTAAAAAGAATTTAATATTTTTTTTAAAAAATTAATAGAAATAATAAGCTAAACGTACTGATTCTTCATCTAACTGATATAATAATTTTCAAGTGGATAAAGTCGGCTTAAAGTGCTAGAAATTATTTTTCAAATTAATTTTCCAGACATTATGCATGTGATAAATTAAAATCAATTTTGCATAGCAATGCTATCAACCTGGCAAGAAAATCGACCAAGATGAAGAAGAAGCTTGGATTACTTGTGCTGAAGACTATTATTGCTCACAAGATTGCATAAAGGTAATTTATGAATTATAGGAAAAGTCGAGCCAATTACTACAACTAATTCAAATTCTAATTCGAAATGATAGTATTTTTTATAGCGAAATTTTTGCTTATTTTTTTTTTTTTTAAACGGAATGGAACAGCTTCGCAAAAAAAATTCTTAAAACATAAATGATCGAATGGGATTATAAGAAAAATTAGTTTTGCGATTCAAGAAAATTTTCTTCGACGAATTCGCTTTTTAAGATTTTTTAAAAAAAATATTTATTATCACGGAAAGTTATTTAAAACTAATCATTTTATAAAATAATAATCCTCAGAAATACGTCCCTTATGACAATCGTTGCTATTTTAATCCACTCAAAATAAGCTGAGCATAGAATTATGTGGATTTTCGGCTATTTCGGAGTCGTTCTTTCGTAATTCTAAGAAATGAACAATCGATCTAATTCTTTAACATAAAAAACTCGAATATTTCATTTCTAACTAATTAACTATTAAACGCCTCGAGTTAATAGTGAAAGTTTCAATTTGTAGAGGATAAGTAATCGATTCAAGTTAAAATGTTATGGCAAAAGCGATTGTGAGGCATTGGCAAGAATTCACGATGGAGGTGCAAACGGATGTCGATCAGGTGATACTTTGCAATATTGGAATCTTGTAAAACAAAAATGTCCGCATTGTTAATTTATGGCACCTCGTTGGATTCTTTGCATTCGATATTCGATATTCTCTCAAGCAAATCTCAGAAAAAAATGGAAAAAATAAGAAGAACCAATTAAGAAGCATCCTAAGTGGCAATAAATTTGCGATAGTGGCAAAAAGAAATACTTAAAAATTAGAAATGATTTATTAAATTGATAGGTATAAACCAAAGACGAACCAATTAAGAGCTTTTTCTGCCGCTAGACGAGTGCAATGAATTCGAGATTGTTGCCCAGCTCCTATGCCAATTACCTGTTCATTACAAAATCTTTAATAAAATCTTAATTTAAAAAACTCTTTCTTGTTGAAATTTAGGCTTAAATAGGCGCAGTCGTGCTTCAGATAATTTCTTTCAGATTGCGTAAAATTTTTCAGCAGAGAAATTTCTTATATCAATGCTAAAAATTGGTTTTGACTTAATTTTAAAAATTCGAGATGGACTTTAATCATTTATCACTGATTAAATTTTTTCTTGTTTTTTCTTCGAATTTAGCGATTTAAAATATCAATATTAATCAGCAATATTGCGAATGACTGCAAGAAAAATTAATTCATCGTCAAAACTGATAATTTTATAGTTCTGATCTATTTTCATTTATGTAATTATCAGTGTTTTGTACAAAATAATGAAAAAAACTTGAAAAAAATGATAAAAGATTCACTTGTCCGCGATAAGCAAAACAAACACTGTTTGACTGAGTATATTTGACCGCAACAGTAGCAATAATAAGATCATAAACAGCGGAATTCGGCAACTAAAATTTCCTCAATTATTTTTACTTTATTCACAAGATACAAAGTTATGAGTAAATTATATTATAGGAATACTTACAAAAATCTTAGCTCTAGAAATTCAGCTAAGGAAATTAGTTTCCAAATCTGATAAGTAATTAGATTAAAAGTATTTTTAATTTGGCAGACTCTAGTGGCAACAATGATGGAGTACCATTTACAGATAGAGGAATAGATGATTCATTGGATTTTACTTCTTGTGCCAAACAACAATTTAAACTTAAATTACATAAATATTTAAAGAAATTATATTTAATAAAATAAATACCATCCAAGATTTGGTTTACGATTAATGCTAAAATCAGCCTAAATAAGCAGGTTAAAATCACAATACAGTTATCTTCCAAACTCTCCTTCTTCTTCTAATAGCTCTCATTACTGGTTAAGCTAGGTCCAATGGTTACAAGGGTAAGACTCTTCCAAACAGCGCGGCCTGATGCCATTTTCTACAGTAATAGAAGCCATTCCTTTTTCCATATATTGCTGGTCCACCTATGCGTTCAAAATCTTTTTTAGGTCCAGGTCTTGATTGGCCATCTCGTTTTTAACGCTATCCATCACAGGGTTTAGAGCAAATAGCGAAATATGCGTCAACTCCTGTGGTGGACGGCGGATAATGTGCCCTAAGGCGATATTCTATGATAACATTATTTATTCAAGTGGTATTTGAACGAAGGTGGATGCGATCATGTGACTTCCAAACTCTCCAAATTACAAAGATTGTAAAAAGTCGAATAAACGTACGAGTTTCGATTCGGATACAATATTTTTGAAAGTTTCCGAACAAATCGCAGTATTATTCCTTTTCTGTTTGATGCGCAAACCAAAAATTGTTCTTTCTTCAGTCTCGGATGGCAAAAATTTTGGATCGATCTAAATAGCATTTAATAGTAATATATAAAAATTAATAATAAATAATAATATAGAAAAATAAATAATTATAAAAACTAAAAACTTATGAATAAATGATGAATATAAAATGAAGTAAAAATCATGCTTATTGCAAATTTGCTGTTCAGATTTTCAAAATTAACAACGGCAAAAATTTATAACACAACTGTCAACTTACAGTTAAAATAATATAATTTCCAGTTCTCTTTTTTGCTAAAGTTGCTAATGCCGAAGCATCGTAAGCTGGTGCAACAATTCCGTCTGACACTTCTCGACTTATAACTTTTGCTGTTAAATCATCGCATACATCAGATAAGGCAATAAAATCGCCGAAAGACGACATTCGATCAGAACCTAAAAACTCTTTAAAATCACCATAAAAATCTTATGGCTTCTGGAAATTTGAACTTTTTTAGACCATTTTATTATTGAACTATCCGATCATTTTTTCAATATTATCTTGATTTTCTCGTTAAAAATTTTTACGAATCAAATTCGTTTGTAATACAAAACAAAAACAATACAAAAATGAAAAAATTTGAAAAGACATATAGTCTTTCTAACTGATCGGTTATGCTTCAATCTCTTATTTTATTTCCTTAGTAAAAATTTTTGACTGCACTAACAGCCAGCGAATCAGAAGCTAACCACCTTCTTTCAACTTAAATAAGAGGTTATAAGCCAATAAGCCAATATTTTTCAAGTAATAAGATAAGCTTTCCTCGCTCAACTTCGGTGATCCAAACTAGAAGGGACATTGCAATATTTACCACGTGCCCTTGCATAAGCTGCTGCTAATGATGGACTGCTTCGACTAATCGGCAAATCTGCAACCATGAACGACTTCGCTTCGGACTCATTGAGAGGTAAGCCAATAGCAGCTCCTGCTGGACTAACATGTTTGAAAGATGCTGCAGCTGGCATTCCAGTAGCTTTTTTTAGCTCACTGACTAATTGCCACGAATTTAATGCGTCTAATATATTTATATAGCTTGGAGAACCATTCAGCACTGAAAAATATGCAATAACTATTTAAATTGGTTGAAATATTTAATCTTATATTGTCAAAATAGGTAAATGCGGTGAAACTAATAAGTAACTTGTTTCATTCGTTCCGCAAAGTTGAAACCTAAATTAAAGTCCAACCTTTGGCCTAAGTGGAACTGTCATAAAAATCCGAGAAGTACCAAATATCTGCATTTGTTTGGTTATTTGAAGAACAAAATGGACGTGGCAAATACGTGAGCTTTATATACAACAAAAAAAGTTATCCAACTAGTAGAACAACCAGTAGAACGAATCTAACGAGAAATGATAACTATCATTTGATGACTATCAATCGCTTATCCCGAACAATTTACAATTTTTATAATTTGCAATAATTAACAACGATAACCCCTTTGTCCCCTTAAGTTGTTCTTTTTAATTTTAAATGGCGTTGCCATTTCCATCGTTTGGCAAATGAAATCTTTATATGATCGCATATTATATATGGCGTAAAATATTTTATAATGTGATATCCTCAACTGAGATAATCTTTTATCACAAGCGAAAATCTTGTTGTAAAGTGCTATAAATGGCTACAATTATATAAAAATTCAGATATAGAACAACCTTTAAGTGGCATATCTGATCCTTCAAAATAAACTTGAGCATCAGTTTGCTGCGGATTAATACCATATTTCAATGTAATTATCCGTCGACCTTCACTATCAAAACATTTGCGCAAATATGAGCTAATTTCTTCATCATACCATTTTGTATGTTCAAATACCTTCAACAATTTGAATATTTATTAATTAAATGGCAAATGAATGCGGCAAATATAGCTGAAATAAATCTAAATCTATAGCTTAAATTAACCTAAATAACAATAATAATAATAATAATTAATAATAATTAATAACAATAATTATTAATAATAATAATCAATAATAATAATAATTAATAATAATAATTAATAACAATAATTGAAAGTAATAACGGTAAAATCAAAGGAAACAATAAGATTTATTAAGAAAAAACTGGATAATATAGTGGATAATGAAACGGTTGATCTAGGATTATGAATTTCCGGCAAACGAAATTTATTCTATTCGCTAATCAAATTATTTAAAACGATTTATTCATTAAGAAAACCGCATAATTTTTTATTTTTTTAGTCTATTTTTTCTTAATTTAGTTGAATTTTAGAAAAAAAAACAAAGAGAATCTCAATTTCAATTTAAAAATATCACCAAATAACTATTATTCGAGTATTCGCTAAAAGAAATTTAATCAACGATGGCAAAAAAGAAGAAAAACGAACATAAATATGTATATAAACTATGGCCTTTTTTCGTCAACAACAATAAGAGAAAATTATTTCTTGAAAATTATTATTATTATTTTTATTATTATTATAAAAAAATTATTTCTTGAAAAATAGAATTTTTCAAGAAAAATTTAAATGGTTCAAAAAGCAACTAAATAAATGTGTAAAATACAAAAAAATTGTGTAAAATAGTCGAATAAACTCACATTAAATTTGATAAAAATCTGAATTTCTGATTTACAGTGATTTTCAAATTTTCAAGGAAATAAAATTTGTTAATGAAGCTTAGTTCAATTAAAATGCATATGCACATAAATGCCAAAAATTTCTCTTTCTAGCATTTCATTTATTGTTCTATAAATTGTTCTACTTTAAAGAACAGAATGACTGTTCAGTTACCGTCCTGTCCTTCATCAGAGAAATGCTGTTGTTAGAAGCTAAATTGGCTCTACGGATTCTCCTGTACTCCTATATATTCTTATATTCTCAAATGACTGTGGAAAACGTAGAGAGCGCTGATAAAAACTGAATAACTAAATGCGAAAAAAAATTTCTTAAGTCTTTCTTTGATATTCTCATCACTCATTAAAACTGACATAACAGCTGAAGTACCACTGATTTTTCCAATGAGTGCTTAAATGCTATTAATAGCCAAATAAATTCCAGGTTATTTCGTTATAAATAGAAATAAGTCTTTAAGTTACAAAAAAATTTTAATAAAGTTAGATTTAAAAAAAAAAAAAAGAATGATTCGAAGCAGTAAAAATTCAAAGCATAATAAATTTATTTTAAAGAGTTATTACATCTCAAAAATGCATTAAATATATTTCAAATTCATCTGAACTTTTTAACACTTCATTAAACTTTTTATAGCAAATGCTTTTAAATTATTAAACAATTTTTTTTTCAGCATAGTAAAGACAATACAATTCGAATATAATGGCGAACAGCACAAATTCAATTCATTCATTTCCATTCATTTAACAGAAGTAAATTTTTTATTGAAGGTGAAATGACGGTGAAGGGACACACTTGCAAAAGAGTATCAATTTGCACTTTTAATAAGGGAATAATCTAAGAAAAAAAATAGAATTATGTAATTAGCCAGCGCGATTCTTATCAGAAAATAAAAGAAAAGTTCCGTGCCAATATGATAACAAGAAAAGTGTATGATAACTCATATTGAATGACGATTCGTTCATATCTTTTTTAACAATAAAATAAAAATTTTTAAATGGAAACAGCCGTTTTTAAAAAATCTGAAGAATAAAATTTTATTTAAATTCTAAATTCTATTTAAATGCAATTATCCTTGTAATTTTCGAAAATTTAAAAAGTATTTAAAAAATATAAAAGTATTTAAAATATAAAATATATAAATAAAAATATTATTTATATAAATATTAAAATAAAAATATTTATATAAATAAAATAAATATATAAAAATATAAATATTTAAAATTATAATTATATTATTTAAATATTTTAGAAATTTTAAAAAAGAATTTCTTCAGAAAAAAGCCGATAAATTGAAATAAATAAATGATAATTTTAAATGATAATGATAATCTAATCTGTTAATGAATTATATCATAAATGATTTAAAGCAACCAAAACTCGAACAAATCGAATTGAAGCAGAAGCCATTTTAATTAAATTTGCTATTTTTAAATGAGAATTTCAATGCCAAATTATGTTATTTAAATGAATTCGTTAAATAACGAAAGATTTTACTGATATTTAAAAAAAATGCTCTAAAGAATTATATAAGAATAAATTAAAGAATTTTATATTATAAGAAAGCTCCTGGATAGCGTTGAAGGTACACCTATCATCTATGTCTCTATTTCTAAACTACCTTTGGGCAACAAGGTGCTACCGTAGTAATCATTAAGCAGCTAGCCAGATCAAATATGGTGTATGCTGTTAGAAGAACAAGAAAACTGAAATTCGCCAAAACTAATTAAACAATAAAATAGTTGCAATTTTGTGAAAAATTTTCTTTTTCTTCTTTCTTTTGCTATTTTATACAAAAATTCGGACAATATTATAGCAAAAATCACGATTGTGACGATTTTTAAAAATAATTTTCAAATTCGAATGAACGAAAATTTGAAATAATTAAAAATGAACGATTATCAATGAACCAGGCAACTAAAAAAATCGGTTTTAATTGGCCACTTATTTGTAACGTCAAATATTTGTTTATGCAGTGGTGCGAATCTAATCAAAAGTGGTGAAATGCTTTTAGAAAAGAAATTTAAAAAATTGAATTTAATTTTAGAGTGCAATAAAAAAAGCTTTCGAATTTTATAGGTTATAAGAATGACATTTTAAAAAAACTAGAAAATTTCAAACAAAGGAGAAATTAAAGAAAACTTTTACGAACATTCAAATTAAACGTTTTTTTTTTTTTAGCGATATTGTTGATTTCTAATTTTCTTCTATATTCTTTTTTCAAATGAACTAATTCTCTTGCGAATTATTTGATCCATTGAGGAAGCAATTCACTTCAATTCCCCCAAGTATAAGCGATATGGAAAAGTAGTTTTTTTTTCGAAAACCTATATTTACACATTCTTAAAAATTTCTTCTTAAATAACTTGGCTTAAGAAGAAAATTAAAATAATTTTGAGAAGAATGGCGAACATCTTAAAATTGAAAATATTTTTAAAAAAAAAATTGATAAAATTTTATAAAAACTGATTTAATTATCGTGTAAATAAAATTTTATAAATTGCATTATATATATATATTGTCGAATATATAGAAAATTTGAAGAATTAAATTTTATGATTGGAGGTTTATGAAAAACCTTTTTCCTTTCTTTTTTTTTTATGAAAACCTCGTGCAGAAACATTAAATTTTGCAATTAAATAATAAAAATCTCAATATTAAATATTTAAATAGCTTAAATAAGTCAATATAAAACCACGGAAAATTCAATAAATTCACATAAATTTGTTTTTACTTGAATTTTAAAAAACCTCTATTCCGACTCTATGAATTTTTAATGAAATTCTTGATTTAATAAATTTAAAAAAAAATTTGAAAATTTAATAATTTAATAATTTAATAAAAATTTAATAATTTTCAAGTTCATCCATCCATCTACCTACGATTATTTATTCGCAATATGCCTGAAGCATATTTATCATCTTCGACCACGGCTGATTACCTCAATTACTAGTTTATTAATTAATTAATTAATTTATTTATTTATTTATTTACAAAAAAATAATTTTATTTAGATTTTAAAATTTTTTCTCGATTGTTGCTACAAGAGATTTACGTTTAATGCTTTAGCATTAATGCTTTAACTTGGGAAAAAAGGACTTCATCACTTTGCCTATTTATGAATAAATATAAAGCAATGAACATTAAATCAAAGTCCTATTTGCAGTATACATTTATTAATACCAATCCTTTCATTTCTCTCTCTCTTTCAAATAGCCTTTTTTCCTCCGAAATAAATTGAGGACTATTTGGGAAAAAATTGTTCAGCAATCTGTACATTTTTTTTCGAAATAAATTGGCAATTTTTTAGAAACAAATTGCTTATTGGAGCAATTTATTATTTATTTATAGAACCATCTATTTATAAAAGAATCGAGATGAAGAATCACAAAATAATTGAAAAGGCTAATATGGTTTGAACCTATAAATCAACTAGTTTATGCATTCTATTTTAATTCCGCGTTCTATTTCATTTCTAAAGTATCAATACCGATCAGTACTGATAAAGTTAAACCTTTGAAATGAATTTTTGAATCATGAAAAACTTACAATGAAATAATAAAAAGGTTCGGAATTGCCTTAAATAATTCATGAAATATAATACATTCCACTCTCTCAAATAATATCACCATTTTGTGTTAATATTATTTTTTTGGCATTTTGAACGCAATTCTCTGCTCTCTGTTTAGTTCACATTTTAAGTACACAAATATAAAAAAAATTAGTGATAAAAGTCTTGTCGCCAGAATGTCGCGAGATTATAATTTAGGTCCGATAAAAAATTTAATTTAATATTATCAATTTGACGATTAAAAAAAAATTTTTTCCCACTTTTGTATTCAATTGTTAAGTAAAAAAATTTTTTAGGAAAAATGACTAAGCGATAACAAATCGGTATTCTGCGTTCAACAACTGAAATAGGTGGAATGCCTATAAGCGGCTTATTGTTCTCATTTCGGAGCACCCATGCAGGATTTCTACTCCAGGCAGAGATGAAGTTGTTTCGAAAATCCAAGAGCGACTCATCTGCACTTCTATCGCCAAGTAATTCCCTAGGCTATTCCGACAAGTTGGTGAAGCGAGCGCAACCAGAAATAGTGGATGATCTTAGAAAGAAAACTCGGATATCCATTTGAATGATTATATTACACTAAAATTTCGTATTTTAATTTAATTTTTTTCTATCCTTGAAAAAATGAAAATATTTCGCATAAACAAATAAAAAAGTTGAAAATGACAAAGAATATTTAAATAAATATATATTATTAATATATTTTGTTATAACACAAAATTTGCAATTTTCTGCAACTAAATTAAAAACGAATATTCAAATGGTTTCATTTTGCTACTACAATTTTTTTTACCAAATTCCTTAAAAATTAATTCGAAAATTTTGGCAATATCTAGAAAGCTTTCCAACTGAATCCAAAATTGCATAAATTTAGAAAGGAACTAAATTTTTAGAATTGTTCGTTTTTTTGAAATATTAAAGAAGTTTTTTAAAAATTTCGTGAATTTTCATGATGGTCAAAGTTAAAAAATGGCAATATTTGTGCTTTTCATGAATTTTCATTTTGTTGACAATTTGATTTGAATAGAATTATTAAGGAAGAATAAATTATAGAACCCTTTATCACCGCATTTAGAAAAATTTCAAAAATTTAGAAAAAAATTTAAAATTTAAAATTTCATTAAACTTATTTATTATAAAACTTCTGCAAATGTAGCGCCTTACGCTTATTAATTCAGCACACCTTATAATAATTTTTACATGAGAAAAAAAAATATTCATTCATTCATAAAAAATGTAAAAATACGAAGAATCGAATTTCCTATTTATATTATATTTCATTATAGAAAAAGCTAATAAAATTTGAAAAAAACTAACGGAAATTTACCTTTAAGGCAAGCTGCTGGCGCAGAGAAATATTTGGCTGTCGAGACGATGACGAGACGATCTGAAAAAAATTTTAAAATCAATTATTTTTTTTATGAAATTTGGAGATTATTATTAAGAATATGGCAATATAAAATAGAAAAATATGAATGATTGCTATTTATTGCCTATCAAAATTGTTTACCGAAAATATTTACCGAAAAGTATAAAAGCCTATTAATACTATCAAAAATAAAGTAATTTTGACAAAAAAGCCATTATTTGACAAAATCCATCAATTATGAATTTAAGTAAACTAAATTTTTACAATCGAACTTGGAACATAAAGCGAAGAAGAAATAAATGAAAAACCATGAAAAGAGATATAATTTGGTGACTTGGGTGACCATAGTAAATAGTATAGAGGAAAAAAATGGTATTGCCTGATTAGCCACAACATTGTAGTCATCAGGATCACAAACTACCGTAACTCGTGAATAATTTTTTGCAGCTGCACGCAATAAACTGATACCACCGATATCAATATTTTCGATTGCATTATGGAGTGTACAGTCAGCTCTTTCTACAGTTCTTTTAAACGGATATAGATTGCATACAACAACACTGATCAGCGGAAAATTGTTTTGCTAAAAAATCTCGCAATTTCTTGATAATTTATTATTAAATTCAATGATTTATATTTCAACTGCTAGTATAAAAAATTAAAAATGCGAAATTTTTTATTACATTGGTTAAAAAACAGCATATTGCGTTTAAAAAATTCACGTTTGCCACGTTAATTTCACGTAAAAATATCACGTTTCCAAATCGGATTTGTCTCTTAACAATGCTCGTTTTGATTTTCATCGACTCGACTCAATCGGTTAAAATTGGAAATGGACTAAGTAACAATTATAAAAGTTTTCGACATATAACCGCAATAAAAACGAAAATTTCACTTAAATACAGAGGAAATATTTACTTTAAGTTCATTGAAATCTGACTGGCAATTTCGTGCCAATATTCCAGCGAAAATTGCCGGATGTAATGTTTTGACGCGACCATCCATCATAACAGCAAAATTTGTTATATCACTGACTTCACTATAACGTACAATTTTTCTTAAAATGGCAATCATCATCCTCAACTCAGTTAGAGTTTTATATCAGATTTAGCTAATTTAAAATGAAAAAAAAAACATCGAAATAATTACCAAACTGATAAATTGTGTGACTTAAGATATTGGAAAGTACCGCCAGTCGCAATTAATTTAAATCCGACTTCTTGAAGTACTCTCGCGAAATCGCCGAGATGACTTTTATCCGAAACGCTTATCAACGCTAAAATTTCCGTTTTTCTACTTTACATTATTTTTGTAAATTACAAATATTTATGCATCATTAATGTGAATAAGCCATCGTTCTCTTGCGTCTTCATTTATTCAAATAATACTTTCTTTAAATAAGTGAAACCTCTCAAAAAAAAACTTGAATTTTACCTTAAAAATATATATTTAATGATATTTAGCAAAAGCTGTGTTGTGCTGTGCTGTACATTTAACCGATTTTTTTTGATAAAAATAAGAAATTTTAAATTTTTTTATTAAATTTTATTTAATATTATTTTATATTTAAGAAACATTTCGAAATCAAAATTCCTCAATTTTTGGATTAAATGAATTGAAATATTTATTTATTCATTCGTTTTACTAAAAAAACTTATTTAAGCATTAGATTTCAATAAAAAAGCTTTTAGTTCCATACATAAGTGCTATAAATTTTAATGCTATAGTAGTGCTCATTTTAAAAATTTCAATTGGTTTAATCGAATTCCATCAAAAATAGAGTTAATTCCGCATAGTGGTAGGTAGTGCATTACACATTGGGGATTCGTATCAAATTCCTTTAATTTTAGTTAAATTACAAATTATTCATGTTGAATTGAATTACGAATTTATTCTTTTTTTTTTTCACAAATACACTAAAAATTCGCTTTTTTAGTATATTTACTAATATTAATTAAAATCCCTATTAAGGTCCCTTCCTTGTCGTCTTTTTAATTCTTTTTAATTCTGCATCTTTTTATTTTTTTTTTACTTTCCTTATATCCCCACAGATCACTAAAATCACTAAGAAATCTAAATCTTTATAAATACATTTATATATTATATAAATATTGCATTATTATTATTAATATTATTAATTCCTATATATTTCGTAGAAGAAAATTAAATGTTGCCTTTCACAATAAAAAAACTTTTTAATATTCCGGATTCATGAAAAAATCCATGATTAACTAAGGCTACGGCGCTTTTGTCGTCAGTTAAAATAAAAATAAAAAAGAAATTATAACTAAATTACCGAATTCTTGCCCAGTGGACGTCATCGATATCTGAAGATGGCTGCAAAAAAATGATTTATTTCGTCTTAAACAATTTCATAACTTCAATTTCAAAACTATTCATACAAAAGCATTTCCAAATGACTAATGGCGTAGACCTACCATCAGGACATATAGCGAACACACAGGCTAGCTACAAGTCTTGGTACCCCATAGTCAAATAGTAGCCACGATGAGGAGGGAAGGAAGACTGCAACATCCAAGTATCTAAGTACCGAAAGCAAATATTGAGGACCATAAATATGTATGGCCTATCAGTCATCAGATATAAGCAGCTGGCATTGTAAGACTTGGAAGTTGCTGATGTAAAGGCTAGGAAACTCCTCATAATATGCGAAATTTTCCACCTCAAGCTCAACGCCCGAATGCCAAGCGGAAAAAAGGCGAGTGGGGCATAGTAAGTGTAAAAACCACTACCTTAAGCGAAGCCCAAAGCATTCAGAAATGCATCAGCAAGTGGCTCAAGGATGCGCTGGTGAAAGAACGTTTGAAGTATTTATAACATTCCAAAAAGACCAGAGGAAATAGCTTGCACGACACCAGAGGAAATAGCTAGCTGAGGTAGATGGCTTAGAAAAATTCTATCAATGGCTGAAAGAGGAAACAGAAATGTGGAAAATAAAGCGAAAAGTAATTCCATCGATAACTGCAACACTTGGAGCAATGACTTCTGAATTTAAAAAATGGCTTTCAGTTTCCAGGAACAACATTAAAGATCGCCACACAGAACAGCGCGCTATTAGGGACAGGTGAGACACTGCGCAGAAGCTTCAATCCCCGAGGCCTCTGGCAGAATACTCGAGGTTGACCACGACCACCCAAAACGAGGTGAGCGAAAAATTTTTATTACATTATATTACATTACATCAAATATTTAGTAAAAACCAAAAATCGAAAAATTGAAATCAGACGAAGCAAACGTACAAAACAATTTCCTTCTAATATAAATTCAATAAGCCAAACCGCTTATCAAACAGAGATAACGTTTGATAAACCGTCCCAATTTTATTGTAAATAAATTCTTCGATGATAAATTCTTTACAAAAGTCAGTTTCTACTTATAATAAAATTTCGTCACCTAACCTATTAATTTCATTAAATTCATCAAAAAAAGGCTTTAGCCTTGCATTTGCATATTAAATACGTGCAATTAAATTTTCCCAGAAACCCCTCAACAAAATGTTCTGCCATAAAGAAATATTTACAAACTATCAAATGAAGATGCTAATTCAAAACTTTTCAAGATATGGATGCATTACAAAGAAAACTTGTTTAATAGACAAAATTAAAATTAAGGAAAAACAGAAAATTCTGCAATAAAACGCAAACCATATATTTATATACATATCGTATTTTTATGTATATACATAATTATGAATATTTATAAAATCTGCGAGATTGTGAAATCATTTGCATTTACAAAATATATTTTAGCTTTTTTTGCTTTTCGAATGTTGCGAATAATTAAAATAATATCCACAATAATATCCAATTTGCTACAATTTACTAGTTAACATATGTGCTATGTGCCCAAAATCTAATACCTAAATTTGTAAAAATTCTCCCAAATCGAAACAATAGCCAAATGTAATTAGGGATGACATGCGATCTGTTAATTTAGTGCCTCTGAATCTGGTTATTCCTCTTTAAAACCTTCATTTCTAAAGCTTATTTTACTAGCATTCTGTAAAAATTTAGTGTAATCTTACAAATCTTTCAAGCATCGCAATAATCTCCCAACTTCATGGAACTTTTTGTCCTCCTTTAATAATACCAGCCACGTTGGTTCAATATCTCCTTCTTTGCCATACTAACTATCATCATTACCATAAATTTCTTCACATCTTATCTCCCAGATTTCTCGACTGACGAAAACTCACCGCGTTCCTTTTTTAAAACCAGATAAAAACACCTTAGCCCAGTCGGGAGCCCTAGAGGCCCATAATTGCTTGGAAATTCTTAACCCAAACTATCAGAATTCCCTTAAGGGCTATCATATTCTACCGTAAATCTGTTTCAAATTGCAAAAGGATCAAAAAATCATAGTGACTGAGGGTACTGAATAGTACACTGAAAAGTATGCTATAAAAATATACTGAGGGTACTGAAAAAGGGGAATTTGATAGTTAATTTGAGGTAGAATCATATAGAGTCGGTGAGTTTTAGAGCAATTTGTCAGAAATCGAATCAAATATATGCTAAGGGAATGAGATTTATGAAGAAATAATTAAGGATGATAAGGTTTGATGACAATTCCCTTTGAAGAGATAAGCCAATGAATTGGATTCTTCAACTGGTGAATACATAATAGATCCTTTGCTATATAAAATGACCAGTTTTAATCAAATCGATTCCATATCTTAAAAAATATTTTATAAAATCATATTTATGAAAAAATTTAAAAATTTCAAGCCAAAAAATGAGGCCATTATGCGGTTGTTACAAGAATTTAAATAATTTTCGGGAGATTTTCTTAAAATTTAAAAATGAAAATTAAGAATGAATTTAAATTTAAAGATGAAAAGCATTTTATACATATTTATGAATCAATGCTTCATAAAAACGACGTGAATAAAAAATAAAAATAAAATATATTGTAAAAATAAATTAAATTATAAAAATAAAAATTTGAATAACTTTAGATCTGAACCAAAAACTTAATAAACCTAATACATTAAACAATGTATTTAATATATTAGTTTTGTTTTCACAGATTCATTTTATTAATATTATTTTAAAATGTCTGCATTTGTCGATTCAATAATTTTATAAATTACCATAAAATTAATTAATAAATTACTATATTTCTAGCAAAATCACAGGCGAATTTCCGAATGAATCTAACAAAAATAAATTAAATAAAATAAAATTGAATAAAACTATAATAAATTTACCACCAGCAATGGCCAATAATTCATTCTTCGATGAACGTATTTGTTCAATTTCATCTTCTATCTGAAGATTTAAAAAATAAATGCAAAAGATAACTGATGGAAAAAAAAACTAAAAATTCTACCACCGTTTATTTAAAGCATTTGCTTTAATGCAATAAAAACACTCGTAATATTTTTTAAATCATTATTTAAAAAAACATATTTGAAAAGCTATGAAACCTCTGAGCGAAGGCTTATTAACGACGAAATTTCAGCCTGCTTCATCGTTAGATTTTCGTTTAGTTGTTTTAACTTTAACACTAAATTGCTTTCTCGGGACACTAAAGACCACATTTGCTTCAGCTGTAAATACATTTTGAAAATTGCAAAAGCAACTTAACTGTAAAAGTAAAATAAAGGAACAAATAAATTAACTACTGTATTGGGAAAACAATTATCGATATTCTGAGTCAACGAATAATTTTCTTCATAGAGATCGCGGAAAAAAATGAAAAAAACATAAGGACAGTAGGTCTTATGGGTTACCACTGAATGAACCAAGGAATAGGAATAGAAAACTGAAATCTATGCAACTTATTCTAAGGCAAATGATTAAATAAGCATCGGTGTTATATTAATTTATATTACATTATTCCTTCATGCCCAAAATGAATAAATTCTAAATGGCAAAGTAGAAAATTTACCATTGCTTGACGATCAGGTATTTCTTCATCTCTCCCATGAATAGTACTTGTACTTGTCTGTAAAAATACTTGAAATAAGTAAAATTGACCTTTAGATTTTTAAGTGATTCGCATTAATTCCTAATGTCGCGAAATGAAAACAAAAATTTTTCAAAGAAGATTATAAACTTCCATTTTTTTAAAGTTTTGCCTGTGGAGCTTTTTCATTAGCCCTTTATATTTTTCGTACTCAATTGGCTCTTGTCCAATTTATCTTCCCGTTTTCTTTATATTCACCTTTATTTATTCTAATATTTATTCTTATATTTATTCTTTGTCTTTCTTTATCTTTAGTGCAACTCATATATTTCAATCATTTCCTGATTCGCTATTTGGCATGGTACAAATTTCAATGCACCGCTCTATTTAGACGAAAACTGCCTTATAAAGCCTTTTGTCATTGATCCTTGACTGATTAATATTTAATCAGTTTAATCAATGTTATAAGATAAATTGCTGATTATAATCCATTTTCTATTTTTACCCCACAGTGGCCTTTTTGATATCACCGTTTAGCGACACAAAATGTCAACAAAAATTAAACGACTAAAAAAATTTAAATAATAAAACTACCTACCGGTGAGTTACAATTTTCTGTGGAGTGTAAAAGAGGAAAACTACACTTTTTATCACAATCCTCATCAGCGTTTATCTGTTCAATTTTCATTTTCGAAAAATCATATGGTATTAAGCCAGTTGTTGGCTCATTGGCAGCTTAAAACAGAATGGTTTAGAAAATTTAAAAACAAAATTAGAAAATTCTGCTAAACTTAAAATTTTTCGAACTAAAAATTTTCAGCAAAAAAACTAATCGAAATTTCCTTAGCAATAAGCCTTCAAAAATCTTGATTAAAATTGCAAATTATAAGTACATGAGAACTAAAAACAATACCCGTAGCATTATGGGATAGAATACTAGAAGCATTATCAGTATTATCACCATATTTAATATTCACCTGTTGTTGACCAACTTCTTCCTAAATATTACTATTAATATGACAAGTAAAAAAATCCAAAAAAGTAAGGAATTCTTGTTTTAACAGACTACATCACTGCTGTAACTAAGGCAACCATTCCTTTTTCAGGTCTGTATATCATAAGGTATACCGCCTATATGTTCAAAAACTCTCGACTTATCCATAAAAGTCTTGATTGGTCCACCTCGTTTTTTGATGTTATCCATTATATTCAACAAGTAAAAATTAGTGCCTTGATGCATAGCCTAACTTAGTTATAAATAATTATAAATAAACCATTTAATTTCGAAAAAAAAATTATAAACTTCAACCATCACAGCTGGGGTTGCATTACGATCGGATGATTCAGCAGTAGATGAAATAACTGGATAGATGGATGAGCTATCTGAATTTTATTAATTTGTTCTGTAATCTGTCAGCGGTATTTTTAAATTTTTTAAGTCAATTTCCAAAAATTTCATTTAGAAATTTACGCACCTGCCAAGGAATGAGTGGTTTCGGTTTCCATAATATCTGTCTCGATTTGAGAATGTGCCTTGTATGGAGGCATTAACTTATACTTGCTTAATCGATCCACTAACATACGTTTGCTACGTGTTTTCAAGAAAGTTGTCCTGTTTTTAAGTGCTATTTTTTCCCACCTGAAACATTCAAAAAACTACAAACATATAAGGGTATTATTATAATTACTATTTAAGACAAGCAAATTTTTTCGAAATTCATTCAACGAATTAAATTTTTTCAATATCAAAATCAAAACAAAACGATAATAAGCCTGAGAACAAAAGAAGAGAAAACCTCTGATGCATACTCTGTTTCATTGCTTTTGGATTGACAAAACAATGCTCCATACTTTTGACAGTTTCATCTAACTGATTTCCAACTGTAGAAGAAGAACTGCATTCACCCGTTCGTCTCTGTCGATTTGCTTGATTTAAGAGAAAATGACATGGAGAACATCGATCATTCAATTCATTCGATTTCTTTCCAGGTGGTAATGCTATAAAAAAAATTTTACGATAGTACCACATATATTCCGAAATAATTATTTCACTTATTTGTTCCTAATAATCATTCAACTTATTTATTTCTAATTGCTACTAATTAAAGTACCATACTACCCAATCGTTTCTTTCAAATTAGCCTCGGTTTATAATTTAAAAAGTATAAACAGATATTTATATTAGAGCATAATAACTTGATAACCATTTACTTTTCTTTGTGGCGAGTTGAACAAACTTCTTCGATTTCAAGTCATCTTTTTTTCTAACACGACGGCGATAAGATAACCTAGATAAAATGCCTTTTTTCATATGACAAAATCGATTCCCACCGTTCACATAATAAAAATCTGTTTGTGGCATTACAGGAGATATATTAGCACATCTGTTTTGAACATTTGGCGCATAAATGGAAATTTCACTCTGAATTTTACCTCTGAAAAAAAGTCATTTAGAAATTAGTAAAGCCATCAGCTTTTTTCGCACATAAAGGGCATCCACAACTGTTTATTATGCTCGCTCCTCTGGCTTGTCGGACCAGACAGATTTTACCACATAGTGAGAGAAGTACAAATAAGTCATAAAAATCACTGATTTTTAAACGTTTATTCGAAATTTCAGCATCAACGTTCCGAGAACTGAGCAACAATCTAATCAGCCATTCTACCTCCCTTCACTTTTGTCGTTCACCTGCCACCTAATGATCCATCAGCCGCTGAGATGAGCCATTCTCGATACTTAATAACATTCACCTTACCACTAAGACGAAAAACCATCACTATTAACAGATAAATTTCAATTTTTCCATAAAACTTTAATTTTTAATGCTTATTAACTATAGATGTTATATAAAAAATACTTGCACTCGCTACACATTTTTTCCATCATTCTTGATGATGATCTGGGAAAAATTCCATCATAATAATTTAATTCATTATTGCGGCTGGGAATCAGATGAGAAGGTTCGCTATTCAGTTGTATCTGTGTGAAAAAATAGAATTAATAAGAATAAATTAATTAATTTAAAAAACTAAATTAACAAAAGAAATACCAAAAACGACCAACTTCTTCTACATAACAATAATGTAATTATTGATAAGAAGGATCAAAAAAGATTAATCGCATGATTATTAATCAGTTCAATCAAAAAACTTAAAAATTCATGCGCTAAAAATGGATAAATAAAAATAAACAATTTTCTTATAGAAGCTAAGGAAATCGCTGAAATAAATGCCAGTTCACTTCTGTAAATTTTGAAAACGAAAATACAAAATCCTAAAAATTTAGCTCGAGAATCTGATTACTTCTAAGGACGGCGCTTTGTTAACCATGCTCATTTGACAATGACATGAAACATTAGAATTCATTTCGCCGTAAGATTCTTCACTTTCACAATGAAAATTCAGCGCATGGCTATTTCGATCAACAGAACTTAAAGACACCAATAAAAAACCATAAAATAGAAATAACTCCACAAATGAATATCCCATCATTTCTTTAAGTAAATGAAAAACTTTTCAAAGTTTATAAATCAACCTTTTTAAGGACCAACCTTACAAAATAATCGTTGTTCTGGTGGACAAAGTTATCTGATCCGGAAAACCACTTATATTTTTTTATATCTTCTTTATGCTCCTGCAAAATTTTCCATAACTCTAAATATCTATTATTTTTAAAAAACAAAAAAACAATTTTTTCATATCTTTTTCATCTTGAATAACACATTTTCCTGTAATACCATTATTTTACAAGGCGTTAGTTTAGATGGAGTATTTAATGAATTAGACATGTTTCCAAAATCTTCCAAATTTGCATCTGTTTTGCGCAGTTCAGCCAATCTTTCCTAACGTTCACTTGAATCAGAATGCTAAAACGAAATGATGTGTTAAAGGAAATGAAAATTTTTCAGGACCTTTCAAACGTTAATAATAGATAATGGATACGATTAGATTACAAATAGATACGATTTATGCCAAAATGAAATGATGTAAATAAAAGATGAATATACTATTTTAAAAAATAAAAAACAGAACGAATTAAAAAGTGGTGAAAAATCAAAATATGAAAAAAAAATTATCTTTTCAACTTAGCTGATTTCGATCTCTTCTTAATGTAAAATGCACTTGAAGAGAAATTTTTTAAAAAACCTCAACTCAAAAACTTTAAAAGATAAATCATTATGTGACGGCTTTTTGGACTTGTAGTCTGACACTTTCATGGCTTAGTTGAACCTGCTAGGGCAATAACCCTCCGCCATTCATCACTCTCAAACGATCACCGACGTGTCACTAGCGTGTTACTATGAGGCATTGAATAGGATTTACGGCGGAGAAATTCATACTATAATTCACCAAAATTCTCATCGAGAAAACTGATGAAATTATGTTTTAGAAAAAATTTGCGAATAAAAATATTAAAAAATTAATATCATTTTATATAATTTATAATTTAAAAAAAAATTTAATTTTATTTATTTAAAATTTATACCAAATTTCTCATAAAAAATTAAAAATTAATGAAATAATTTAGCATAAAAAAATATTTAAACCGAATGAAACCTTTGAACAATCGGAAAGTTCAGCAATTACAAACTCACATAATTTGCATTTTCTATGTTTACAATCGTTAAACATCTCCTTACGCCTTATTTGATGAAATAATGACAATTTATGTTCGTCATATTCCTTTAAATTTGATTTAATTTAATAGAAAATATTAATATTAATAAAATATTAAAATTATTATACAAATAGAAAATATTAAAATTTAATTTAATAGATAATTTAATTTAATTTTTTTTAAGGAAATATTCAATTATAATTAATTTGCTTTTAAGTATCGCTTTATTTACTCAATTTTCATTTAATTTTTCATATTTCTTTTTTCTTTAAAAAATTTTAAAAAATCTGAAAAAAATCTAAATTTTCCTTTAAACATTAATTTGTGTTCAATTGATGCACTAATTATTACTAAAAACTCAATGAATTTGTCGGTTATCTCAAATTTTATATAAAAATTTTTTCAAATTAGGAAAAACTTATTCGATTAATTGATTTTTATCATTTATTTTTTAATGTTTTTATGTTTTTATTTTTTTCAAATTATATTTTATAACTTTTTTTGTGTTCTTTTTTCTGAAATAAAGAAGAATTTATTCGATTAGTCGAGGATTTATTTGAGAATAAATTATGCTTTACTACCGTATTATATTACGTAACGTAAAATCTAAAATATGAAATCTGACATTTGCTCGCATTTTTTAAATTCAAAAAGACTCTACGAAGCATGTTTTTACGGCTTTCCAAAGCTGCATTTTAGCAGTGATTTAGCGCTTTTCTCATTTAGAAGATTCTCAATTTTTGAATTGAACGCGACGGCGAAACGAAAGTTAAAATTTAAAAATTAATATTTTAAATATTTTTAAATATTTTTTATTTCGACGAACAAAAAAATTCGAGGAAAAAAAGAAAATAAGCCGCGCGAAAAACTTTCAAACAATAAAAACATTTCGACGAAAACGATTTATCACAAACTTCGCAGAGGAAAATCGTTCGTAAAATTCCACAAGAATTACTATTATCGTTGTAAGACCAATATTGGAAAATTGCAGCTCAATTTTTTTAAAGTTTCACTTATCAAAATCTCGTTCGCCAATATAAATATATCGCTAATATTACCGCGATTAGAAAAATATTTTTTTTCTTGGAGAAAATTTTCTGATAAGGATTTTCGATTCTAAAACATTTAATCAAAGCCTTAATCAATTCGGTAATAGCTAAAATATTTTACGAGAAAATATTACAGTAATACAATAATGTTAATATTCATTATTATTATCATTAATATTATAATTTTATTATTATAATTATTATAATTTTTATTAATATCGCCATTAGAATACAATAGTATTCTTAAAATTGTTGGAATACTTTGCCAGAATTTGCATAAAATGCCACCGAAAACAATTAATATTTTATAACGGTGAACAAGCAAATTATTTATTTTCAAATTAAATAAAAAAATAATAAATTTTATTAGATTTCATTTTATTTTATTATAAAAATAAAATAAAAAATAGAATTGAAAAGAAAAATAAATACGCTAAAATAAAGTTTTTAGAAAATTTTATGAAATTTTTTTTCGTATTTAATTAAAACAATTTTTAAAATTGTTTATCGAATTTTTAAAATTGAACAAATTATTCGAATTAAATAGAGTTACCTTAATAATCTTTTTATCACCTTAAAAATTGAACAATACTTTATGGTACCTTTCCACTATATGCGCCTGCCAGGAGAGAGATTTGATAATTTTTTTAACAGCTCACTCCAATATGGACAGAGAGTTTCATCTTCTCCTATGTGTCAGGATAAATTCTTAACTTGACAACTCGTTCCAAGACTTCCGGCTGCTCATATCCTATACGTGACCGTCAGGAGGAAGCTCCGACTTGACTACTCGTTCCAAGACGACTTCATCTCCTGTAGAACATAAGGAGGGAGCTCCGACAACTCATTCCAATGTGTAGACGTGATTTTTTTGGATTTTTTCAATAAAAATTGCCTTTTTTTGTATCCTTTGAAATGATTGATATAAAATATTCTACAATGTGGAGCATCGTTTCGATAAAAGTGATAAGATTCATCTAAAGGGTTTGAATTGAATCTGAGGAGATAGTGAATTATCAATAGGATTAAACGAAAGAGTACTGCCGAGTTTGAGGAGTGCATTGAGGCTTTTGGTGAATGTTACGAGGCTAGCGGACATGTTTATCGAATGATTTCAAAGGCTGTGACAATGCATGAAACTAAATTCCATGTTTCTCTCCAAAAAAATTCATTTTTCTTTATTATAGCCGCAATTTTTTTTCTAATTTTTTCATTTTGATCGCTTTTTATAAATTTTCCTAAAGAATAAATCGTTCGTCCACATGTCGCTTACATTTTCCATGAAATTCTCTCTAATTTTTAAAAGAAAAATTCAAAAAAGATTTTTGCATTCGTCGATAAATTATTCATTAAGTGATCTTTCACATCTTTTAAATTCAATTTAATTTAAAACTCGTCCATTATAAAATATTTTCTTGGCAAAACTGAATTATTTGGAATGAATAAATTAGTTTGAAATTTCGGCTATTCATTTGGCTATTTGTGCTTTTCTAGGAGAACGAACAATTCTTAATTTATTCCTCTCCTAGCTTGTCGGATCAGCAGCCATTTACCAGACAGAAATGAAAATTTAACAAATGAAATGCAAATTAACCAGCACCAGTTGGATTTTCGAAAGACTCCCTTACAAGAATAGAACCTCTATATCGATGCTGGAAAATTAGCCGTGCATTTTAAACGAAATTTCAAAATTTCGAAGAAAATTTCAAATAAACTTTATTTAATCAAAAAATTATTTAAAAAAAAGAATATTTGCACAAAATATGCTAAATTTATTTTAAATAATATAGTTTTAATGAAGTTTGTTGAATTATAATAATATTCAATATTCGAAAGTTATAGTTTTTGTTTGAAGATAATCGTTCAACGCTTCAGCTCCTAAAATATTTTCGATTTAGGTTTTCAAGGCTTTTCAAGACAAAAGTTTTTTCATATTGAAAAATTTTAAAGGAAAAGCTGGTAAATTATTTTTTTAAATGGAAATTATGCACCAATTAAAAAATTTCGCTACTAAAAACTTATGCTATATTTCGTCTTTAAAAGTGAGCGAATTAACAAAATCCACCAAAAATACCGTTCACTTGGCTTTTTTTTTTGGAATTCCTATTGTGCATTAAAATTTATATTCATGAATAGTTTTGAGATATTCATAAGGTGTCGACCGAGATTTCAAAAAATATTTTACCGAGATCCTTGCCGAATCCAGACTGTTTAAAACCACCAAATGGAGCCGCGACATCAGTTTTCTGATACGTATTGACAAATACGGTGCCCGCTTTCAATTCACGTGTTATATGCAAAACCTTAAATAAATGTTATTACCGGAATTAATACGTTTTTTTTTTTTCATTTCTACCAATAAATCTATTAATTGATTAAATGGGAATTTGAATTGAATGAAGATTTTGAGAAGTCGAAAATTTTTTTTATTGTATTTTGCACTAAAAAAAATATGAATTTTTGATTTTTTCCAATTAGTAAAACATCTATTAATGAAGGAAAAATAATAATGCAACTTTTCCGAATAAAAATCGTAAATTCTTAAGAAAAAAAATGGAAAAATATATGCTTTTGAAATATTGTTCGAGAAAATTCCCGCAGCTAGACCATATTCCGTTGCATTACAACGTTTTATTAGATTGTCAATATCGCTGAAATAAAAAATATAAAATAAAAACAAATAAAAAACAACTAAAAAAATTTCGAACAAACTTTTTTTAAAATAAAAATTGAACTATCAGTGCGTCGATCCATAAACTATTCAAAAAATGTAAAATGAACGGATCAATTAGCGCTGGTCTCATCTCGGAGCGTAAATGGTGAATTTATTACAGTAAGAATAATTCTGCATTTCATAAATCCGTATGATGCTGGTGATGACTTACTTGGTGACTTACATTTCCATCGCAAAATGACTAGTTGATAAAATTTATTTGGTCCGGCAAGCATATGAAACGAGCCTAGCCAGAAATGGAAAAATGGTTCTCAGAAGGAAAATTTTAAAATCAACGATTTTCATTTAAATGAATTTACTTTTCATCAAATTTGCTAACAGCCATAATTGGACCAAACGATTCTTCTTTTGCTGCAAAGTTATCATCATCAATATCCACGAGAATAGTTGGTTCAAAAAAGAATCCTTCGCGATTAACTCGATGTCCTCCACAAACGAGACGAGCACCTTCATTCACACTCTGTTTTACGTAATTTTGTAATTTCATTAGATGAGCCCTGCAATAGTTTTTTTTTGAATAACCGTGAAGAAATATTTGTCCTGAAAAATCGAGAAAACTTTCCTTCTATTTCCATCGACAAATTTTCTAGCCTATTTAGAAAAATATTTTTAAAGATATTTTTTATCTCCCGAAAGAAATTGCATGAAATTTACAAATTTGTGCGGTACCATCATTTATTTTTTTTATTTAATTGGGACGTATATATGCCTTTTCTCCGCATGACTGGTAGATCTGGTGAATTTCTATGAATGGAATATTCAAGCGTGCAATCGACATTGGATTGGACATAATTCTATCGATAGCATGATGGCAGCAAAAATCAACTGTTCCAGAATTTATATAATTATAAAAAGTAGTAGTCTAATAGAAAAAATGAAATTAATAACCTATGATTTTGTGGGCCATGTGAAGTTGCCCGATCTAGTGGATGACCAATGATAAGCTTTTGAGTTTCCCGAATAGTTTTTTCAATGAATTCTTCATAAATCGAAGATGCAACAAATATACGACCTGCCGAAATACAGTTTTCACCCTAAACTTTTTAAAAAACTTCAATATTCTTGAAAAATAAATTTTCTACATAAATCTCGATATTCAAAAAAAAAAAATCAACCATTGGTACTTTTTATAAAAAGAAACCTTGTTAAAGAATACAGCATTGCAAGCTTGTTTAACAACGCGATCCATATTTGTGTCAGGAAATATGATAAGTGGAGACTTTCCTCCCAACTCTAACGATACTTTTTTGATATTTGACAATCCACAGCTGAATTAATCAGATTTATGTGGCAAAATTTTTGTGAACTGATATAAAAAATTCAGCGGTTTTATTTAGAAGCATTCCTAATGGAACCAAAATTACGAATTTACTACATTTAATTTAAGTCATCATATACAAAAAGAACCTTTTCATTACTTGGGCCCCAACTCTTGTTGAACCGGTGAAACCGATTTTTCTAATAAGTGGATGATTGCAAAGTACTTCTCCGATTTCAGGACCATTTCCAGTGATAATATTTATCACTCCTGCTGGTATTCCAGCTTTAACAGATAATTCAGCAAATTTCAATGCTGTTAATGGTGTCATCTAAATAAATAAAGAAATTTAAGATTTCGAAAAACACTAGAAGTTTTCGAAATAGAACCATCGCTGTGGATCCACCAGTGTTTCTATTTTCATATGGATCTCTAGCGAAACTGTCGCAGTCTGATATTCACAAGACAATAAAAGGAACCTAAAAGGGAATGGCAAATGCCATTCATTGATACTTTAATTAACTAATTAACGAAGAAATGCGTTGGTTCTTCACTAGAAATCTAAAAAATTTTTCATTTCTTTATGAATTTTACTTCGGCAGGTTTATGAACAACTGTATTTCCAGCAGCAAGGCAAGCAGCCATTTTCCATGATAGCATCATAAGCGGATAGTTCCACGGAGTTATTAGACCACATACGCCAATTGGCTCACGAATTGTTATGCATAGATTTTGATTTGGTCGAGCATTGGATATCGGAATTGTGCTTCCCTAAATTATATGCATGTATATGAAGAAAATCTTTTTGTAAAGTTTGCTGCTTGAAAATCTTAGACATTACCTGAATTTTATCAGCCCAACCAGCGAAGTAACGCCAAACATCAATACTCATTCCCACGTGTGTCTTTAGTGCTAATGTATAAACTGCTCCACTATCAATAACCTCCATTGTTGCAAGTTCTTCTGCAAATATTTAAAAAAATTGAAATTTTTTCGTATTTTTTCGAGAATATTGGCGTGATAAACTTTTATCATTTTATATCTAAGCATACACAAAAATCTCGCACTGAATTTATAGGTACCTCTGCGAAAAAAATAAAAACTACCTCTATGTTCCTCCATGAGATCAGCCAACTTGAACATAAGTAGACCTCTTTCTCGCGCCGAAATCCGACTCCATTCACCGTCCTCAAATGCTTTTTTAGCTGCTTTTACTGCCCTATCAACATCATTTGAAGTTGCCTGAAAATTTCTTGCGCCATTATTACTACTGAACGATGTGCATTCATAAAAGGATACATGCTGTAAGTTTTGTAAAAATTTCTGTAAAAATGTCTTACTATAAAAATTTGCATATATAATTCAAAATTCACTTAAAAAAAGGATGATCTGGATTTATAAAAACAAACATTCTAACAATAACAATATAATTTTACTTTTGGTACGGAACAGATGGGTTTTTCAGTTGTTGGATCAATGGTTTCGTATGTTCGCCCAGAATCGCTATCCACAAATTGCCCATCGATAAACATTTGGTGAGGAAAAACCAAATTCATTCCATTTACTGATATCTCAATCTAAAATTGTTGATAGCCAAAAATCATTCAAAAATCTACTTGATTAAATTTCTAAGATTCAATGCATCGAAGAATTACTTTGTCGTAGTTCAACTGAAAATTGTCGATGCCTCGAAGTTTTTTAATAACCGCATAAAAATATTGAATGAAAGTTGGTGATGTGTATACCTGCAAAATCTCTCCAATATTTACAGTGATTCGTCGTGCTAATAGCAAAAATTACTATTTGTGAAGGCGATAAAAATAAAACCATTTATAACCTTGAAATATTCATTACATGGCAAATAGGAAAAGTACAAATAAAATGCGAGGTTTTTTATTTTCTTTAACTGACGACCTAGAAAGAAAAGAAGCTACCTGTATGTTTTCTAACTCAGCTCCGGTTTTGAATCTAGTTTCTTCAATGAGCCTCGTAACATCTTGGCTTGTGGCACCACTGTCAAAAAAATCCATGTTGTCCTCAATGTCTATGCGCAAAATTTCTAAAAATATTCATTATTCAATACGATAAATTTTTGTTCCCTATTTTCCTTTGCTATATTTTCCTTAGCAAAATCTTTTCATTGGGTCGTGCGAATTAGACTCGTTTTTCTCAAACCTACCGCTGAAAGTGAAATCTGAATTGTTACTGAATCCCAAACTATATCTTCCCATCTACCTTTAAGTGAGCATGTGGCAAAATAATTTTATGATTTCCTAGCAATGAATTTAAACAAATAATATTGTTAGAAGAAAATAAATAATTAAAACCACTAAAAGAGAAAATTTTAGAAGTTGATTTAATTAATTGAAGCGGTTTTATAGAATCTATAGGGAACATTTATTGATATGAAAATTATTAAAAATGGTGATTTATAGATATTTATTAAAATGAGTTGGAAAAACTGCAGTATAAATGGAAAACCTTTCCAAATTTCTCGAAGTTCATCTTCAATTTTTCTCTCATCTTCAGTTATATTGTCAAGTTTGTCCAGAGTTTCCTCTTCATTAGATCCAAATTTGCTTCCTAATATCGTTTTACCGTTTCCTAGCTTGACATTTGCAACATTTACCTAAAAATAACCACTCAAAATTCTTATTTAACGCGATAAAATTCAACTGCAAACTTGCACACATATTTCTTTTCTATTCATTTATTGCATTTGCTATTCTCGTGAGCGGTGGTGTCGGTTATTCTCTCCGTCAATAATTCGTTATTTCTATTATATTATATTGTGCTTCGCTAAATTTTTACTGCATTTGTCTAAAAGATATTCTTTCGAAAAGTATATTGTTATTATCGTTTTATACTGGGCACTTATAAGATAAAAGGATATTCCAAATGGCACCGAGAAAAGTAACAACAAATGGGGCCGTTTCCAATAATGATGTTAGCTGTTTAAATAAAACTATCGAGGATCTGAGGTCACAACTAGCTTCCATTACTGAGAAATATGAAAAACAACAAGATCTAATTATGCATTTAACTAGATCTGTTGAAATACTTACAAAGGTCAACGAAGAATTTAAGAATGATATTAATAATTTGAAAGCTTCGTCTTTGGATGGCAACTTTGAGCCTCAAAAAAAATTGAGTGATCAAGCAACCTCACCAATGGTTTGCAACGACAAATAATTTTTCAATCTCAACTTTTTTTCATCAATCTACAGAAGCCTAGGACAATTTGCCAAGTAAGATTGATAAAATAAGAATATATTTTTATATATAATTAATGCAAGAAGTTTAAAATATAAACTTTATGACCGGTTCTTACTAATTGATAACCCAGATAGTATTTTCAGTATTAATGAAACGTGGTTGGATGACTCTACTGAATTAAACTTCGACGGCTTTATAGTATCATGTACAACAGAACAACAAATAGTTTAAGTACTTGTGGAGGCTTATCACGCTTATTCCTGATTATTAAATTTTTAACTTTTGGTGTTTGTTGTTTGCTCTTTTGAATCTCTGATAATCTCTGATAATTAAAATTCATCTTAATAACAAAAATATTTCACTTTTAAATCTATACGCCCACCCGGCTGTGGAAGCAAATTCACTAAGGATCTTCACAGCCTGTTATTCAGATTAAAATTATTTGGTGCCGATTATGTAATTGTTGGTGATCTTGATATGCCAAACATTCCAACTATTGGGAAAATAGCTGCTTGAAAAATAGCAGAAAATTTGAAGAGAACTTTCTAAACCTCTGTACTATATAGATCCAGAGCAACATATTAAGATAGGTATAACAATATCTGAGATGTTGTATTAAATACTTCTACTTCTCTTGTCTTAGAATCTTTTTGTAATAATAATCAAAATATTATTCATGCTTCATTAAAATTGGACCGTTATATACTTCCCTCGAGATTTTCTAGAAATTACTATTATTGTGATTATGAAATCATTAATTCTATTCTCGCAGAAATAAACTGGGATTTCTTATTTTGTCTAACTTCCTCTATTGATGAAAAAGTTAATTTTCTTAATAGCATCATTTTATATTTTATAGGACAATATCTCCCTTTAAGGAAAAAAGTGTGAGGTCGATTCCCACTTTTCCAAAGTCTCTTTAGAAAAATGTCGAAAAGATTTATAATAAATACAAATTGTCAAATGATCTCTCTTCATATGAAAAATGCTTAAAAATTTTGCGTAGCACAATTCATAAATACTTTCAAATAAAGGAGAGCAACCTTCGAGTATCAATAGAAATTCTTTCTGGACCTACATTAAAAGAAAATTTGCATATCCACATAAACAAATTATTCTGCAACATAATGATAATGTGATCATCTCTGATATTGATATTGCAAGTGTATTAATCAATATTTTTCTAGTATATTTGTTGACGATAATACTTTTGTTTTATAACGTTAATCGAACTTGTCGTATTTCTCTGTGAGATTGAAATAAATCCTAATTAATAAATTTGTAACTTTTGAATCTCTGATAATAGATTTAAATAGACTTAAGTCGTCCATTTCAGCTAGTTCCGATAATATTCCACAAATAATTTGTAAAAAATGTGCAGTCTGAGTCTTCTTCCCCTATTCCTAATTTATAAGGATATTATGAAGTCTGGCTTAAACCCCAAAAATTGGAAATTGTCTCATTTAATTCCCATTCATAAAAAAGGAAGCACCTGTGACCTTTCTAATTATTAACCTATTAGCCTAATATGCGTTGGTAGCAAGGTAATGGAATTGTTGATTTGTTGATATGATGATGAAACAAGTTGCTTACTTATCTTGATGCCAATAATTTCATATCCTCCTATCAGCAATATCAGTTGTGTACCTAGATTTGACCAAAATTTTTGATACTGTTTCCCATAGAAAATTGTTGACTACCCTTAATATGGCATTATAGGTGGCCTGTATAACTGGGTGTCAGATTACATAAATGGTCGTCACCAGGCTTTGTGTGCCAGCAACATCTTTTCATTACATTACACAACAGATATTACATCTATTAATCTGGTGTACCTCAAGGTAGTTGTAGTAGTTGTATTGTGCCACTGCTTTATTTCTTATATATAAATGATATCACGAAAGTGTTAAATTCTACCATCTATTTTTACGCTGGTGACTGCAAAATTTATTATTCTCATGGTAGATTGGATAATCTATCTCCACTGCAGGAGGATCTCAACAGAATAGCCTATTGGCTATATGACAGGCAAAATATCTTTTTCGAAAATATAGCATTCTTCATATCAATTTTAAAGGATTCGATCTTCCTAATCTTCTTGTTAATGGCAGTATAATCAGAAGAATCTCATAAATTTCCGGTCTTGGAATAATCATGAATGAAAATCTCGTTTTGGAACTTCACTGTAGAATCATGGTAAAGAAATCCTCAAAGATACTAAATTTTATCTTTCGTTCAAGAACAAAATTGAAGGTTTTCTTATCAAAATGTATCAATCATTCGTCCACGGCCACTTCTTAACTACAGCACTACCTGTTACTGCCCGAGATATCGCAAATCAAGTAAAATAATTGATAGACACCAAATTTTATACTACATATCTCTCCTAATTCCAGTTTTAATTATGAATACAATATAACCTGGATTTTCTTTTAGTTCGTCGTATTAAACAAGATTTAATTTATACTTATAACATTCTGGTTTGGTTATGTTAAACTAGATTATTCGAAATATTATAATTTTAGGCTAAATTTGAATCCAAAAAGAAAAACCTATATATAAAACTAAACTAATGACTCGTGACTTATTTATTCGCGCTATTAGTCACTGGAATAAATTGGAAATAACTAGAACCAAACGCGCCATCCTCAGCTATCTTTAAAAAAAGATTAGATAATATCATTTATGATATTATTCAAAAAGTTCATATCACGCAGGAAGTGTGAAATCTCGATTTTTACCATCCAACTATATATAATATATAATGCAGTTACTTCGAATTGTACTATATTATTAAATATTTTATTATTTTATAATTTCCTCTTTAAATTGTTATTCAATATTTTCTTTTTTTTTATCATTAATTATTTTTTTTTATCATTAATTATTATTATTTGTTGACTATTGTTATTAATGCAAGCACATGGCGTTTATCGCTTTGCTTGGCTGATTTTCAATAAATATTTATATAATTTTTCTTTTCTTATATAAATAATGAAAAGAATAGCTAAGGAAGCTAACTTACAAATTTTTCGTCACTTGTTGGTAACAATAAACCTTTCGAATGAACGAAAATTTTTCTCGATGGGCATTCTTTAATTTCAATTGCTTTACTGTCTTTTGGTAATTGTGTATCTTTATAAATTGTCGAAGAAAGAAGTGTAATTTTTTCGCCATTAATTACTATCCATGCACCAGGCACCTTGAATAAATTGGTTTAATGGAATAAATAAAAAATAAAGTGTGAAAGTACAATCTATTGAATCTAGCCAGCACATTTCTCTCCCCTATGGTGCCGATAATATTGCAAATGGATTGTTCGTTTTAAATAATTTTCTTGTCCGAATGCAAAAAAATGAGTCTTAATTAGTTGAATGCAGTTTCCCCTTTATTGACTTTGTATTGAACTGTTAAGCCAAGACATATTAGGCTATAATTAAAATTCTATGATTACTTGTTAGGGGTGAAGGTAAATAGCGAAAAAAACTATCACTGATCAAATAATAGTAATAATATAATATTGTACAATAGTGAATTTTTTTTACCGAATCATTTCCTCTTATAAAATTATGTGCATCTCTTTGGTTCAACGACCAGTCGAGTTGGGCAAGCTCGGGCTTAATTGTGATAGGTGCTTCGTAGGACGCACCTATTTCAGTCTGAGGGATTTTTGGTGCTTTTCCGGTTTTTATCAACTCGACTGCTTCAGCCTGGAAACAATTAATTAATTTATTAAAATTGCTGCTAATATTTTCCTTCATATCATATCATATCAATAAGGGGAAAGAATACCATTGCTTTTACACCTTCAGGGTACAAAAATCGCGCATAAAGAGAACTCGATGTGTCATTTTCCTCTATCTTTATGGATTTTTGAAGTAGTATTGGGCCAGTGTCCAGGCCATGATCAGCCCAAAACACTGTCAAACCAGCCTTTTCATCGCCTTTAATCAATGTCCAATTTATTGCTGATGCGCCTCTAAATGCAAACGAAATTGAATTATAACTAAATTTACTAAATATAAATTTACTACAAATAAAAAATTTTTATTTATAAAATTATGCAAGAAAAATATGAAGAAATTCATATTTTACTTTCGAGAAACAAATATAGAAAAGGATTTTCATCTTTTTTTCTAAGAGCGCTCACTATTCCTAGCATAATTCTTTGCACTCGCTTATGGAACATAGAAAATTTTACCGGGCAGTGATCACTTGGTAGGAATACAGATGGATGCAAGAGTTACCCGCAATTTGCGTGGTAAATTCTCTTTTTAAAAATAGAATCTCAACATCGGCGTTACAATATGACCAGCGACAACCCATTAAATCATTCTACGACTAATTTCGAAAGATGATAATTAATTTTTATGATAAAAATATTCTGAACAGCTAAATTTTATGATAAAAAAATTATGTGGAAATTCTTGAAAACCAAAGAAAATTATTAAAATTATTAAAAAAAAAAAAACCTATGAGCAGGTAATAACGAAGGATGATAGATAATTGATTTATATTTAGGTTCATCGATAATTTCTAATGGAATATATTGGGTGCAAAATGGAAGTACATTTAATTCAATTTTATGAGATCGGTACTCGTCGAGTAGTCCTGATTTTAAGCGTAATTTTCCATTGGAATCCTTTTCTCGCCAACTCGATCTTTTTATCACAGTTATATTAAGTTTTTTCGCCTCCAAAGCTTAAAAGTAAAAGTATTATTCTATTGTTGAACATGAAATTATTGGAAAATTATGGTAATAATTCGCATTTGAGGTTTGTAAGATTGCTGCAGTTAAAGATTTTAAAAATTTTAGATTTCAGATCGAATCTTTTCGATTTTTTTTGAAGAGGGGTGGAATTTTTCATATCTTGTCTAGAACCTCGGTTATATAAATATCTTTTTTATATTTCTTGGTCTCCCTGTCAATTTGTATTGCTCTATTTATATTTGATAAATCCAGTATCGCTGTTTTCTAGTTCTTTTGGTACCACGATGTTATGACCAATACCTCTTTGTTCATACGAGTGCAAAACCTCACTAGATCTTGGTCATGCTATTTCCTACGATTTTCTCATTTGATCTCATCTCATCCTCTCTTTTTACTTTCACCACTTTTGAATAGTATAACCTGAGCCTAGAAGTGGTAAATAAAATTCCTTCTCCTTCTTCTGTAGATCTGGAGCTTTTTGTGCTTCTATAGTGCCCAGATGCTATCCTTTAATCCAGCTTTTTTCAGTCAATGAAGAATTTTATTATCAACCACTTTAGCAATCTGTCGATGGTTCTTCTCTTTCCTGTGTCTGATCCTGTTTCTGATATCTGCTGCTTTTTCAGATATTCTCTCAGCAGCTCATCTTTAAGTGCCATTTCTAATTAATACTTGGAGTTAAAGGTTGAGGTTTAACTACGGGTTAACTACGGGTTAAGGAAACCTCCTTACATTGTGAAGAATTCCCAGGTCTTCACATCGATGATTTTTATCGGTAATTTCATTTTGGCCGCCTCATTATACCAGCTGGGTATCTAATGGAAGAGTGTTTTTTGCATTTTTGAATAAATTTTGTTTTCCTCATTCTTCTTCATTTTTATTATCATTGGACTGACCATTCAGTAATCTTATTCTTTGCTTGGATGTTGGGATTTCCTTATTCCTCCTTTTTTTTCTTTTTCCTTGCTTGCTTTTGTGGTTATTCCTAGATTTTTTCGCCTTTTTATCGTTGTTCCTATATGATCATACGACAGAAAGATATTGGTTTGCTATATGGATGATAGTACCATCCAATTAATCTTAAATATTCTTCTCTATACTGCCGTCGATTATTTCTCCGATCCAAATGATAACTCCCATCTGCAAAAATGTGTTAGGTGAATGAGAGAGACATGCCTCATTCTTAACATTATATATTTCATTCATGTAAAATGTAAAATAGGTGACAATTCATATTAAGGATTTTGAGGGAGAAAGATCCTTAGATAAGATGAGTGCGATTGGTATCGAGTCATGTTGAGGTTTTCCTTAGAGTTAGTTTGCCCTTGCCTTGAGTCTAGAGCGTTGTGGGTATGAGTGGCAAATAATTTTGAGCTTTTTTCCAATGATTTTTTGAACTCTGAAGCTAGGCCATATTGTTTTATAGTTGGGAGCCTGGTAAGGTTTTCCATATTGCAAAAGGGAGATTATTGGCTGGTGATTGGATCATATTGTTCCCTTAAGGGAGTTTTTCATGATTATTGTCATCCTTCCTTTTTTTTTAACCAATCAAGATTGAGGCTCTCCTGTTATCAGATGGTTCATCTGTGTTTTTACGCATTAGTATAAGATTTTTTGCCAGTAGATATTGATTATATCGAAACCAGATGCTGTTCAGCTTTCATATTCATACATGTGCAGCTGATATACCTTCTTCATTTTCTAGTGTTTCCGAGCATTTTAATACTGTTCCTGTTGTCCTACTGCTTTGTATTATTCTACTTTGGGAGAATTCTTTATGTAGTTCTCTGGATGAGAAATGAATTTATCTTTTTGGTCTTTGCTTCTCAGTCTTATGTCTTTCCATAATTAGAACAACTATGGCATATAACAACTTGCTGGTTTCTATTATGAGGACAGTAGAACTATAGTTGATATATCGTCTATACTGTGTTGAAACAGCTTCTCACCTGGTCTAGATGCTCATCTTTTCTTCATCCTCACTAGTAATATTCCATCGATTATAGGTTATTTTATCTTGGCCATGTAAAATTTCTTCTAGCAGTCAACTTGACATCAAATATTGCTTTTCCGATATCTGGCGTAGTTCCAATAGCCTACTTACCATCAAACAATACTGGTTTTTCTAATACGAACCCATTTAATCCATTCAGTGGCTGTCAAAGTCAACATAACATAATACGCAACGTTCATGTAATTGAAGTAGTCTAGGTAAGTTTTAGAAAGCTTTTACCCAAGGACCTATCGGCTTTCCAAAGTTTTCGTTCTTCCTGTTCGTATAAACAATGCCTTAACCATTAAGCTATTTCAACGCCATATTATTTAAACAAAAGCAACTAAACAGGGTCTAACTAAACTATAACAAAAATTGTATCGCATTCCGAGCACGGATGGCTGAATGGTACTTAGAGACCGACAATAGGTTCAATTCCTCCTCTCTTAACAGGAATAACTCTCAAAATGAAATGCGGGCGATGCTCGTAATTTCGAGCCAACGGACGATGAAATCAGAAATGGTACTGTTATGGACGAAAATAGATTATAGTTAAAATCTCATCGAATCATTAAATTTTTTATCAAAAATATTTTTTTAACAACAATTTTTTGCCTAAATTTTATCTTTTGTAAATTTCCGATAATTTCCTTTCGATAAATTTGAAAAATTTTATAAAAAATTTCTCGCACCAATTATATCTTCGCGATTGTTTTTATCATTTATCGTATAAACAACAACGATTTCATGCCCATTTTTTTGTAAAATTTTTAAAACATCAGCACCAAAAGCAGATTGACCGATTATAGCGATCCTCATATGTGCTCTAGAAAATAAAAGTTGATAATTTTTGATAATTGATAATTTGATAATTATTGAAAGCACTGTTAATTATAGATCACGATAGGGGGTAAAATGGCTGAAAGGATTTTTGCTCTTATTTCGAAAGGCGTATTCTGGCATTCGAATCGTTCAAAAATCTGAGTGGTGCTGACGATTCTTATAGCCAAGTGGCTTCCTAGCAAAATTTCTCTATTTCAACAAGCCAGTAAGCTTAACGAAGAATGCTCGTGCATTTTAAGAAAAACATGCGATGCTATCATGCCGTCCGGCCAATCGAGAAAAAGCACTAACTGAACTGGAAGCTCGACTTAAAGAAACAATGGCTATTCACACAATGCATCAAGCGAAAAAGCAAAGCGCGTTTCATTGAACATTTCGAAAGCAATTTTATGCAAAGCTAAATATTCAACAAAAATACTTAAAATTCAAAAAGTCCAATAAAAATAAAATAAAATGTTGAAAGGATTGAATAGAAAAAAAGTGATAAAAGAGCTGCTTAAATATCAATTCTTTAAAACAAAAAATTTTCCGGTGAAGTTTGCTTGTTTTTGCATGGCACAATTTGTTTGCCATAAAATAATGATTGCCTTTAACTATATAAATAACTATATTAAAATAGAGAAAAATGATAAGAATAGTGATAAATGATAAGAAAATAGTGACTTAGCAAAATTTATATGCAATTAATACTATTTATATCATATTTAAAATATTTTCACTGCAAGGAAACGATATTTTTTGTAATAAAAATTTATAAAATTCATCTTCAAACCTATTAAATTTGTTGTAATGAATTTTTTCATGATTCAAGTTTCGTTATAGGTAATGTGGAACGAATTAAATTTCTAACGATGAAATTGGAGATTTTTTTTGGAAAAAATAAAAAAATTGTCAATTTTTATAATTTTTATATATTTTAATTTTAATAATTAAATTAAAATTATTAGCAAAAAAAGGAAAGAATATATACACACATTTTAGGTGATTTTAAAGCAATTTAGCGATATATGTGTGGTGCATGAATGGTGGCAAAAGGATTAGTTTGTGTTGTTTTCAAGTATGGCATTAGACCAAGTGGCCTGGAAATGCCGCTAGCAGCGAACGAAACCACTAATTGTCGTGTTACTGTTTGAATGAATGAAAATTGACGATCTAAAACTGACTTTCCTTTATAAAAATGCGATATTTCAAATCGAATTTCTCGAATTTCAATAACATTTTTAGTTAGAAATTTTAAAAAATTTCTAAAAAATTTTAAAAATTTTTCATTTTTTATGGTACTTTGATAAATTAATTAAAAAAATGGGTCTTCAATTATTACACTGATTAATTAATTAATTATTCTTTAATGACTAATTATTTTATTTTTTTTCGCCAGTTTCATGCGTTAAATCTTTATAAACATGCGAGAATTTCTTTCTAAAATTAAACATCTCTTGAATAGGTAAAATTAAAAAATATTCATTTGAAGATATTATTTTCTTTTCTTTCTTATTATTATCATTATCTTTTTTCGAAAAACTCTCATCACTTCCTTATCACTCCATTAGTTTAATCGTTTCGTGGTTTGGGCAATAAAAGTACAGATGAGTCGTTAGCATCAGTCTGGTTTTTGAAAGGCTAATTTGCTCGTGCCAGGAGTGGAACTTCAGCATCGGTTGCGTTATCAATCCACCAAGCCATTCTCGCTCCTTCCCTCTCCACTCTCCCTCGATGTTATATAACATTAAAATTATTATTTATAAAATAAATTATAAAAATTTCTATTAGAATTAGAATCATGGAAATTGCAATACAGTAAACCATAAATAGCGCGCTGAGCAAATTACGTTCACTAAAACTGAGTGATAAATTTGTTTAAACATTTTGAATAAATAGTTTATATAAAATAATTTTGTATTTAGACATTTTGATAAAATATTTTTTGAAATAAATATTAAAATAGATGGAAATAGCTCAAATAATGAAGGAAATATTTAATTTAATAATGTTTAATGATAATAATTTTGATTTTAATGGTGATGACCGTGGAGATAACAGTGTTGGCTATTGATAAAAAACGATAATTCTGGTGATAAAAATGGAGATGCTGATAATGGTAATGGCTGAATGCTGATGGTTACGGTAATGGTTATGTTAATCATTTTGTAATGATAATATTAATGTGGGAAATTAGATGTTCGCAATAGCGGATGGGGGCCGAATAATAAATTTCTCGGCCGAACAGGAACGAATATGTGCTATGTGCACTGGAATTAATTTTCATATTGTTCTGCTTTGTTTTTATTATTTCTTTGGTAGTGATTGCTTCGAGTTGTTTTTTTTTCGTTCCTTTAGGGCAAATTCTTATTTTTCCTTGCTCTCTTTTCCGCATTGTCTCTTCTTTTCCTCTCTTTCCTTCCTTTTTCCTTTTCTCTTTTCCTTTTCTTCCTTTTTTTTTCGTTTTTTCTCCTTTTTCTTTGCCACTTTCCTCTTTTGTTTTACACTTTTTTCTTCTGCTTTCTTCCTGTTCTACTCCTTTTTTCTTTTCCTTTCATTCTAATTTCTTATTTATTTCGCTTTTCCTCTTCAGTTCATTTTGTTTTTAATGTCCATATTAATAGTAAAAGTCAGAAAACTTGGCTAAAATGGCTAAAAAATCAAAAAATCTTAAACTCGCTTAATTTATCTTTTGCTGGTTTTAATATTTTTCTGTTTATTCTATGATATTTATTTTTCATTATTAATAGGTCATTTAGTTAAGCTTGGAACTGAAAATTTGTTCAGTGGTTCAGCACTGGCGCGCGCCATTTGAAGAATATTTGCGACATTGTGTGCTCTGTTGATTTTATCGAGCAACGGCAACAACAAATAGCCTAAACAAAAAACAGTGGAAATATTAGAGGTTTCGAACTCGGAAGTGATTTTCATTATAAAGAACACATAAAGATCTGAAAGACCTTAAAAAGTTGATTAAAATTTTGTTCATTTTACGGTCGGACACAATCAACGTTGGAGGAAGTAGCCAAAAAACGATTTATCACAGGCAAATAACATTCCCCAAGCCATGAATTCAAATAAGGCTGATATGTGTCCCACATCAACTTTTGCTGATGAAAATCTAAATCGTAAATGCCAGTAGTTATCAACGAGGAAAAACATTACCTTCAACCAACTTTGATGGCCATTATGTGTTTGGAGAATAAAAAAAAATAGTGAGTTGCTCAAACCTAATAAAAGTACCATGTCTAATATTTTTTGTGTGTGTTATGAACAGCTTAATCGTCTTCGAGAGCTAATTTCATTGAAATTACTTATAGCTAATAGAAAAAGTGTAGTCCTTAAAGCAACACCTTACGCTTCCACAAAAAAATTGAAAAGCTTGACTGGGAATTTCTATCTCTTCCACCTTATAACCGTAACCTTCTTGCCTATTCTGATTTTTATTTGTTTATATTCTCTACTGTTCTCTTCTCCATTGTTATTTTAGTTTCAAAAAAATTTCATTCTTGATTAATGATGTAAAAAAATAGCCTTGAATATTTTAAATCGAAGGACATAAGCTTCTACAAAAAAAGAATTCGAGAACTAGTTTCTCGGTGAGAAATTATAGAAAACGAAAATAATTTTCTTGAATTTAATTCAGATTTTTGAACTTTTCTTAAATTTAATTCAGATTTTTATAAAAAAAAATAATACGAAATTATTTATTTGGTTACCTGATTACATTTCTTATTAAATTGATAAAGTGGTAACTACCAAGTGACAAGTGATAAAATGTAAGAAAGAAAAGTATTTTTCAGGAAGCAGCTGATCAATATTCAGCAACCCATCGATTTTTAATGGTATTCCTTGAATATTTATTTTATGCGATTTACTTAAGTAATTCGGCAACAGGTCAAAAGTAAATTCAAATATTTCTTTTATACATCAGCTATACTGGCAAAACGATTCGCATTTTATGATTATGTAAATTTCTTGTTTATAACCTTTGACACTTGGTTATTGGAAATTTGTGTATTGCGTACAAAGGTCATTAATCTGAGAAACGTCAGAAGTGATGTCGTTTATTTTCAATTCTTCTTTCCTAAAATTAGTAGATATAGTCAATGATTATTTACTGATAATAGCTATTAAAATAAAGTTAGCTTATTAGTTTTTTTCGTATTTATTTCCATATTTATTTTACGTGTTATTGTACGAAATTTATAAATACTGAATAGAAAATCATTAATTTTAGTGAATATCAGTAATGGTACCATTAGAAAAAAATGAACCAATTGGAGCCAAAGGCAATGAAAAAATTTGCAAATCTTTCAGAAATTGTTCCCATGAAATTAAGAATAGTAAGAATTGTATTATTTATAAATAGCTTTTAAAGTTTTTATAAAGTGCGGGGAAAATTTTTTTCTACAGAAATATGTAGAATTTTTTAAAAGAGCGAGGGTTTTTTTATTTATAGTGTCCCATTAGTTCAAAACGGGATAATTCTTCTTTTTTACGCCAATCTTTGTTGTAACTGGTATGCGATTTGTGTTTTGCTCTCGTTTTCGACAGTAATTTTCTCTTGGTAACAGGTATGACACCTCAAAGTTGAATTTAAATGTACCAACTAATGAAAATTCCAAAGTCAAATTCAAAAGCGTAACAGTGATTGCTTGCGAGATTTTTTCTCCTGAAATTAATCGATGTTTACGGCATAGAAAATCAGCCAAGCCGACAGATTCAATAAACCTTCATTTGTGTCACAAATTGCTAATGATATTTGAGCGAAAATTTAGCGAACTTATATTTTTAAAACCAATTTTTCATTGATTAATAAGTTTTCGGCATATGAATTATAAAGAGGAAGATTTTATAGTTTTTATGAGATTTTATAATATCTAAAAATTTTTTAATTTCAAATTTTATTTATAAAATTCTTTTTGAAAATATTTTTAATAAAAATTCGTTAAATTTTTCTTTTCTTTTAAAATGTAATATTTTCAGAGAAACAAAAAAATTCAGATATAATGTCAAAAGAAAGCTCAGACAAATCTCAGAAATTTGAGAAGAATGGTTCGAAGAAAACTAGAAATATAGTTTTCTCTGGTGGTACTCGGATGATTATTATGTTAACTATGACGTTTGCATTTTTTGTTATCGAAATAGTGTTTGGATATATTTCACATTCAATGGCCCTTATCGCTGATTCCTTTCATATGCTTAGTGATGTTATGGCACTTTCAGTAGCATTTGCTTGCCTTAAGGTTTTTTTTGATACATAGTTTTCCTAGAGTCATTATTGAACTTTGCAGATTCTTCACATTCAAATTTTGGATTTACAAAGTCTAAATTTGACTGTTTTTTGGAAATTTATAAAATTTTTGCTATTTTCTTTCAAGTTGCGGTTAGATGTACAATGATTCAGTAAATCAGACTCATCGATCAAGTTCAACTTTTAAATTCAGATTGCCGAACGTACTTCAAAAAAAAATACATTTGGATGGGTTCGAGCTGAAGTACTTGGTGCTTTAATTAATGGTGTATTTTTGTTGGCACTTTGTTTTTCAATTTTTATTGAATCATTAACACGTATCGTTGAACCAGAACATATCAAAGATCCAGCAAAAGTTCTTGTTGTGGGAATTATTGGTTTTATTATCAATCTAATCGGAATGTTTATGTTCCATAGTATGTTTTTTTGCTAATTTTTAATAAAATTTACTTCATTTGATTAGATTAAAAGCGGTTCATTTTATCAGAATTTTTAATTTGTAGTTTCACGTTTGATGTCTATTTTTTTAAGTAATTCTCATTTTTGAGGTCACGCTCATGGCCATTCTCATGCTGGAATCGATTCTTCTTCAAATAGTAGGACTGGATTACGCGCACATGCGACTATTGACGGTTTTGAAAGTCAGCATCTTATGTCATCACATCAGGTTTAACTGTTTTGAGCTCTTGTTAGAAATATGAAGATTAACTTAATCTTTGTTTTTTTCTTTTTTTTATGGGAGAGTTTTGGAGGTAGGATTTAGGTTATTAAATATCTAATATAGGTCAGCTATGCTGTCGGAGATAAATTGGCCAGTTTTAAATTATCTTATATTTATTATTTATTTTTTTGATCATCTATATATTTGACTCGTTTTCAGTATTATTATCAGGATTAGAATGTTTTCTAAAAGAAAGAATTATTTTATAGAAAATTAGAACTCTGCATTGATAGAAATTATTATTATTATCACGAAAAAATTTTTATTTTTATTAGTTTTTAGTTTTGGATTGTTATTTCTTAGAAATTTAATTCAAGGATGCTGCTATGGCTCTTGCGCAGTTAAATCAAGATGTTCGAATCAATATGAAGGATGACAAATTTTACACCGATGATAATCGATTTGTTGAGGGAGAAGCCAAATCTAAATCGGCGAAAAAAAAGTGTAAATTTCCTATTTAATTTTATATAAATTTCTTAGATTAGAAGTATAGATTAAGGGCTTGTTGAACGAATGGTATATTGTAATGGTATATAGCCAAAGACTAAAGGCTCAATCATTATCACATCTTGTGCTGAACCTTGCGATTGGAAATGAAATCGGTTAGTGGTCAGGATCCATGATGAATATAGTCATAAAAATCAGACCGTCAGACCGGAATATCGAGTTATTTTTGGCAATATGCAGCTTGGTTTTCTTTTATTTTATCCTATAAATACCAAATGGTAATCATTTCAGCTTTATCAAAACAATTGAATATGCATGGAGTATTTTTACATGTACTAAGTGATGCTATAGGATCTGTAATTGTCATTGTAACCGCCTTAGTCTCTTGGCGAGTGACCGGCTGTGATGCACTTAAATTATACTTGGATCCAGTATTAAGGTTTGGCTCACTGATATATTTTTTAAACCAATTTTTTAATGCTAAGAGATCTAATAAATTTGGAGATGTAATGATGAATTGCAAATATTCTTCAGTGTTCAGTGTTCAGTTATATTTATATATGTATCGAAATTTGTCGAAAACAATATTTAAACAAGCAATAAAGAGATAGAATATATAAATAGGTTCGAGAAAGGGAATAGAAAAATTTTTTTCTAAGGATATTCACCATTACAGGTTAGGCTCACTTCGTTGGCTTGTCGGGCCAGATAAATTTTGCCAAGGAGTTGAGAGATTTTTGAATATTTAATCCTGCAAGATGTAGGATTTCAGCAACGCTCCACATTGATTAAAAAACCGCTGAGCCATTCTATTTCAGCATTCAGCATTCTATTTCAGATTTCAGCAACGCTCCACATTGATAAAAAACCGCTGAGCCATTCTATTTCTTTCAGCATTCGGCGACATCAGCCATTAGCCAACCCGAGCCATTCTCAATTCTCACTGGCAAAATTATCTTACTACTAAATAATGAAATAGAAAATAAAATTTATTAGAATATTCTTCTAATAAATTTGAGTTGTTCTATGGAAAAAGAAACATAAAAATAGAACGGTTTTTCGAAATTTATTAGTAAAACGATTTATTAAAGGAAACGAAATTTATTTTCAGTCTTGCTATGGTCGGTCTTTTGGTTGCTTCAACACTTCCACTTGTTAGGGAAACTGCACTTATTTTGATGCAAACTACACCAGGATTTATAGAAATTGAAGAACTTGAAAAAGCACTTTTAAATGTTAGTTAAAAATATACGTTTTCTTTAGTTTTTGTTCCTGCAGGATATCAAATCTGATCAAATTCGATCCACTGGCTATTAAGGTAACGAGTTGGAAATAGAGATACGGATGGCCTTATTTTAATAGCTAGTTCACCATTACTGATTAGGTTGGCTATAACGGTCTCTAAGATGTTCGATCTCCCACACCATTGTCGACATTAAGGCCATATATCGCTGGTCCATCTATGCGTTCAAAATCTAACATGTATGAGTCCAGATCTCCTCGTTTTTGACACCATCTGTCATAAGGGTTTAATAAGTACTGGGCGATGGTGAACGTGCATTAACTAGTGGAACCGACGCTGTTTGATGGTTCTGTTAATTTAAACGGCATCTGAGCGAAGATAAATGCAGTCAATCACGTGAGATTTTATCAATTCGGTGGACCTGAAAAATGTGTCACATATATCTTAGACATGAGTGGTCAAAAGAAGATAACTTTATAATGTCTTCAACTTTCATGAGCCATGTATCGCAACTATATAGGAACTATAGGTATTTTACCAACTTCTTTTATCAAAGTCGAAAAGACTTTTGTTTTATTTGTATTAACTCTGAGTACAATACTCCACCACATTATTAAGCATTATTTGTATTATAATTGACACCAGCATATTTAAGATCTGTAATACGATGCTCCGGAGTGATACACCTCTTGAATGCCAACAAGCGATATCCTTTATCCAGTCTATCGCATAGTTGAATAGTGTAGGGAAAAGGACACAGATGGGTATCAGTTTTTATTTTGAAGGAGTCTGTCAGTTCCCCATATACACAGACATCTGCGCCGACGTACCCCCATAAAATGCCTTTATAAGTCAAATGGTCTTGGCTCTATCAATCGAAGGCAGCCGCAAAGTCGATAAAATAGTGAATGTGGACTGCAAATATTTGAAGCTATGTTTCAACATAGCTATGTTTCCTTCTTAACGTGAATATCTGGTCAACGCTTCGGTCTGAATCCAACTTGATTAGGGCGCCTGTCTCATATTTCCACAAGTCTACTGAGTTAAAAGGAAGCAAAAATTTTCTCTGAGATGTCTAGTAGGCTGATTCTCAGTAGTTGTCGCAGTATGTCTTACCACCTTTCTTGAGCATTGGGAGCGGAATTATTTTGCTCCAGTCATCTGGTATTATTTTTTTCTTCCATACCAGATAGTACACTTGTTGAAGATGTGGTATGAAGAATGACATTTAAAAAGTTCAACTCTGAAGCTATTTTCTCCGGATTTTTTTGACTTCCTGGATAATAGATTGCTTCCGGTTCTGCTGGCTATTTGCAGTTAAAAATATTTACAGATGGTGCATCATGGTTAAATTTAAGAAATTCCTTCCATTTTAAGAGGCCATCCTTAATATCCTTAACAGACACTATTATTGCCCTATTTCACTGATTATTCTCCAAGTTATATTTTAATAAAGAAGGCGAAATAGTTTTCTGTTATCGCCTAATCGAGCAGTTATCTTCATTTTCAAGGTCATCACGCTCCAATTTCAATCCCGCCATATTGCTGTCAATGTAATTCTTCAAATTATTCGATAGTCAGGACCTTCTAACATTCTTGCTTTGGTACCCTTTTTGCACAGTGGGGCAAGTTAGCTTATTAGCATATCATGCTGAACCAGTTATCTATCATTTTCAATGTCACACTCTGTTGTTATATATAGCTTATGCAGTTGTTTCCATATTAAATAATCTCTGTGAGAAAAGTGAGGAAAGATTAATTGTTTCCAGATTGAAGGAATTCAAGCGGTGCATGAATTTCACGTATGGCGTTTAGTCGGTGAACGTATTATAGCAACAGTACATATTAGATTTAATGATTTAAAAGCATATATCAACGCTGCTGATGAAATTCGTACGTTGTTTCACGATAATTCGATTCATAGTACTACAATTCAGCCTGAGTTTTCTGAGGTATTTTTTCTGTTTCCCTTAAAAAATTTATTTATTGTTTTAAATATATATATATTTTTTAACATCATTCAGGTTTCAGACTAGTAATTTGTCAGATTTATTTGATTTTTAACTTTTCATTTTAGATTTTATATGGAATAAAAGATTTTATATGAAATGGAAACTGAAATTCATTCTTTTTGGCAGAATTCACTTTTTCGCATGAATTTTATTTTAGATGTCTGATAGTTTGGGTATTAACGAAAAAGCTTGTGCATTAGCTTGCCCACCTCAAAATTGCAAGCGAACGGATGTCACCTGTTGTAAACGAATAAATGATAGTTCTCTCATGAGCGATGCAGTGAGTCTTCGCTTTAAAAAAATTTTCTATTATTGTAAAATATTTATGTTCTTTCTGGTAATGGTTTAAATTCCATTTTAAAACGGCGTTTTTACTATTTAAAAAAATTTTATTTTTATTTTAGGATACTGAAAAGGAATGAAGAACGAATAGCCAAAATAACCCAACATAACTAATTGCGATTATCGGTAATTAAAATTATATAATTATAAAATTTATATTCGTGTATAATTTTTTGGAATCTTATATTTTAGAAATATTGTTTTTATTTTAGAATTACACGTCAGATGTGCAAATTGGAATCCTATTTATCTTTTTCTTTCTATCTGCATTTTTGCTCTAAACTAAAGACTTCATTTTTTGGATACTCATCATAATGGAAATTATATTTTCATTAGTTATGTAATGATAATCATTTTTTTTTTTACAAAGTAGTTGTAGTTGAAAGATTATAAAAATTATTCCACTATTTATAATTTTGTCAGCATTTAGCAGTTTTGTTAAAATAATTCATAGATTTTGCTGAACTGCGCTTTATTACTAGTAAAGTCGAGGAATTTTTTCAAATTTGTAACTTTTAAATTTAAATTTTTTTGATGTTTTAATTTACGTTATTCCAGCTATTCGTCATTTGTTTGTTTTATTATTTTGCTTATCTTCATTTCTTTCTTTTATTAATTTATAATTTATACCGTTTTGTCGTATTTTGTTGTTTCCTCATTATTTTTCAACTTTCATCATTTCTTTTTCTCCTTGTTATATGCATGTTCTAATTTATCTCAAATATTTGTTCCTTATCAAATATAGACAAAAGTGATAAGAACAATTTAAATTCTTGGTAAATTTAATATTCAATAATTCTCTTTTCTTGTCTTTTTTCTTGTTATAAATTAGCTTTATTTGTTTATCCATTTTTTCTTTATTTTATATTTTTGAAGTGTTTTTTCAATTATTTCCTATTTTTTTAAGGAAATATAGGTAATCATTTAATATCTTTTTAAATACATTATGAGCAATAATCAAAAAATTCCACTTCGAGTTATTGTGAGCGTTCATATTTATATTTTTCTTTATAAATAGTTTTACATTCTTATATTATTATTAGTATTTCATTCTTTAAGGTGTAAATAAAGCAAATTAGTGTTTAAATAAAAATACTTAATAATAATAGTAATGTGCGAAAAAATGAAATTTTTTTAACAATTTATTCAAGGAAGTTGATTCATCGATTCATTATTATGTTTTTTCGAGTTAATTAAATAAGGTGAGCAAAGAATTTTTCTTCAGTGAGCAATACCATGTCTATAGTAATTTTACATAAACAACTAAATTAAGCAAATGTAAAAGATGGAAGAAGATACCTCGCAAGCTAATATATAAACTATGCCGAATATAACGAAAATGCATAAAACATTTAAAATCCCATTTGAAATTGTATAAATTAACGGAATTATAAAAATATTAGAAACTATAATATATTAATTTCATAAATGAAAGATAAATCACTAAGAATGGTTATACGGATTTTAATCAATAGTAACATTAATCCGTGTTATCCATTTTTAATTGAATAAAGGGTTCAATTTCTCCTTAGCAGTGAGTGAGATAAAAAAATGTTCGGCAAATCATCATTTGTTGCGTCCTATTATAACTGTTAGAAGACAAAAAAATTGCCAAAGGAAGAATGGTTTAACAAATGAAAACAGCATTTGAGTTCAACACTTAAAAACTACATGATGAAAAATAACAATCTGGCAAATTTAAAAAATCGACCCGACTATCTAGCAGTTAATCTCGTTATACAAACAAATAATTACCAGCGATATTAACTATCTTGAGAAGAAAAATTAATTAAAGATCGAAATAAAAAAAATTTAAATTTGGAATATGAGAAATGTTAAGACCGTTGGTGAAAAATTCGGAGATGAATAAACATAAATAATAAATGATAACGATAAGATAAAATCGAAAACCCGCAAAAAGATCTTGAAAGTGTCTGCTGGTTTTTTGATCTTCCATAGAAGCACATTTTACTACAATGAAGAACAACCTTTCTTTATTTGGTTACGGATCAAAAACCGTTCCCTTTTTTGTAGATGGCTGCCGAATTGTTGAAAATATCGTTCACCGAGAGAATTTGCTTCTGTCCATTCCCGAAATCTAAAAAATATGTTTTCCAAGATTTATATGAATTGTGACAAGACGATGACAGCATATACAGTATATAAAGTAATTTCCAAAATCTATGAAAAACAAACTGAAAAAAAAAGGTAAAAAGTGAAACTCTCAATGATAAAGCAATTACCTCATTAAGTGCCTGAACATGCCTGGATTTTTCCCTGTGCTCCATTCTTTTCCAACACAAATCTTTAAACAAAGCAAATCCATTTGTTTTACGTGATACAACAAATCAACCGAAACTGAATAGGCAAGTAATCGTGACAAATGTTCTACCTCATCACACTAAAATTTGAATTTTTCATACGAGCGAAAAAAAGAATGGTATCAAAGAACAATGTATTTGACAAACTGAAATACCTGAGAAATGATGAAAAGACTTTTCAAACTAGGAAAGAATGGTTCTTCAGGCATGAATAGTTTGTTAATAGGAATTAAACTTTGCGAGTTTTTACGATATTCATCAGATTTGCCCATTTGCGACTGATGAAAGATAGAAGTAATGTATTTGATTTGTTGACTGTTCACCTGAAGAAATGAATAACTTAAACCACAGCCAACCTTATAAGCTTAAAAAGCAAAATGTAAAATTTTAAAAAATATTTGACTCATTAAATTCAATGAACGAATAAAACCTCTGCAACAAGTATTTCAATAATTGGACTATCAATATAAAGATGCTCGATATTTTGCTTGAAAAGCATTAATAGATGGATTAATGCTTTTATTTCTTTCCAAGTTGCTTTTGGATCAATCGTAACAGCGAGATGACTTTGATCCAATTCGACCACCATTAAATCATAAATCGGATGCCATTCACAATTATCTAAAAAGAATCATTATTCATTCTTTTATTATTGCCCTCGATTCTTTAGTAAGACAAAGAAAATATATAGCTATGACAATAAAATCGATTTTATCGACGGATGGAATGAATGGAATAGCAAAATAAACGATTTTTTTTCAATTTTCCCACATGCCTTCAGTAAATCTCCATTATTATTAGTTAATATGATACAATTAATATAAGGCGTTAACGTACATCGACGCTGTTTGCTTTCACGCAGTTGTCGAAGATTTGAATATAACCGCACTTCAATTATTCGAATTCGATCTAATCGTTTTTGTGCAGCGGCTCTAAACGCTCGAGAAACGCGTCGCCATCTAATAACATCGAATATGGAAGCCTTTAAATTAAAAAAAAATTTATGAAAAAAAAGGAAGAAATGAAAGAATTTAAGTCTTTGATTTGATATTAATAAATTTGAAAAAAAAACGATAAACTTACCCGATTAATAAGAATTTCTATAATTCGTGTCCTAGAATTATCGTAATTTGAACAACAATAACACCGTACGACACTGTCAAGCAATTGTAGAGGTAATATTAATGCCATCTGTTCAGATGGCTTTCAACCATTCACGCATAAAATTAACGCTGACGAATAGAATTCAATTTTCATATAAATACGCTTAAAATAAGAAGAATAAAATAATTAATTAATTATAATTATAAGCGAAACACGACAACGAACAATCCACATTCATTAGTTTAGTAATATCGAAGAAATGACAACAATTTAAATAAATTTTTAGAAAAATTAGCGAAAATTTTATGAAAATCAACCAATGACGATTGAAAAACACGCTTCTCACTCTGATAATTTTAATGATATTTTTAATTTCGTTAATAAAAGCATAATAAATCATCGTTGTTTAACAAAACAACTGATAGAATTTTACTGAAAATCAAATTAATCAAATAATGTCATACAAATTTTTCCAAATGAACTTCGACCTTTCTCCTTTACGAAATTTTCTTTTCGTATTTTCTTCATTTTTCTTTATTCAAATGAATAAACAAAACAATTAATTTTATTCATTCATTATAAAATTCTCGAATATAAATACAAAAAAATTCTTGTTTTAGAATTTATAAATGCCAATTTCGTAACTTCGTATTATTTGCAATTAATATCGCCAAGATTTCTTTCTTTCTACCTTATCAGCTTATCAAAAATTATCAAAACCATGAAATATACGACAAAAACCGATAAAAGAAGAAAAAAATTATTTGAATAACAAATGAAATAAATTATGAAGAGATGAGAAAATAACAATGTAGAAATAAGAATAAAAGAAATTTAGCCAAAAAACAACAAATAATAAATTTCGTAGGTTCAAAGGTCAAACAAATAAACCAAAGATCCCCACATAGCCTCGCAATGATGAACGGAAGAAAGGTCAAAATGGCGAAAAAAAAAACGATTACATGAACGAGTAGCCGAATGACCTCAGCAAGAAAAAGTTCCATCGGAAATGCACCAAAGAAAACCCAAAGGGAACGCACGCCTAACTGCGTCGTGTAACACATAATTCCCGCCCCCTCTCCTTTCTATAGAAATACAAACCAACAAATAAATATTATATGTGCGAAATGATTGATCCATTTAAGCGCCTATTAAAATATTGCAAAAATCGCAAAAAAAAAGACAAATAAAAATATTTTTTCTTCATTTTTTTTAAAATGAAAAAGAAAATTGCATCACATTTATCAAATGAATGACGTTTTAAAATAATCATCGAAAAAAAAAACGAAAATATTTTTCGACAAATAAGCGAATTTTCATTTTAGCAAATTTGATTAGAGCGAAGAGAGATTTTAGACGTTATTAGGCATCCCAGCGATGTGTTGGCCCTTCGCTATTTTCAGATATGGCAGATATAGGTATCCTAGCAGCCGAGAAATGCCTTATCGCTTTGCCGCCAAGCCAGCCTAATCACTAAAGGTGCGAGCTGATTAGAAGGCGAAACTTTTGGATAGAATTTAACGAAATGAATAATGTAAATTTCTTTTTGAACGAAAAAATACCGTCAAAATTTTAGCCTTAAAACTAATCTATCGGTAAAAGAGCAATAATTCTTTATCACTAATCACTAATGCTTCATATGATTTCTTATCTGACTTTATAAATGATAAAAAATTTTTTTTACAAAACGAAAATTTCTAGCAGCTCGCACCATTCTGTCTCCCCTGTTTGAACCGCCTTAACTCTTTTGCCTTATCATTTTAGTCAACTGGTTGACTGGTCTTCATCGCTTTCATTCGTCATAAAGCTTAGCAAAGTACTGAAAAATACTGAAATAATTTGGATTTAAAATTAAAATAAAAAATAAAAAAGAAAATTTAGAAAAAAATTTTAATTTCAATTTCAAAATAAATATTTTAAAATAAATTAGAATCATTTTTCAGAATTCTTTTTTTTTTCATTCGAAATCGAAATTTTCTTTTTTCCAAAAATTTATTTTCCATTCCATTTTTCATTTTTTTTCCCTTTTTCCGCATAAAATTCATTGCCTATTTCATTTTTCAAATAAAACCAAATCATTTATTTAAAAAAATGAAACAATTTTCAGAAAGACATCGACGAAAAATTTCAACAAATAAATCGTTTTTTTTTCGATCACTGAGACTTTATAAATTATCAATCAAAAGAAGCCATAAGATAAAAAACTTACTAAATGGAATTAAGTTTAATTTAATGTTTTTATTTTTAATTTTTATTTTTTTACGGACTAGACAAACGATAATTTTAATCGCTAGTGCAATGAGCGAAGTCAGTAAAGAAGTATGAAATAAGCTGAAAGAAGAAGAAAGGAACTTGTTGGAAACATTGCTAGTATATACTGGTATGGAACTAAATTATGGCGTTGAAAATGTGAAAATGAAATGACAAAAATTCATTTATGATAAGAGAATCGCAAAAAACATTTAATATTATTCGAATTGAACTTTTTATAAAATATAAAATTTATTATGCACTAATTTAATATTAATATTAATAATAATAATAAATAATAATAAAAGATAAAAAAATTAAAGTTAAGGAAAATAAAGCAAAACAAAAATATGAAAAATGAAGTAAAATTGTTCGAAACAACTAATTTTAAAAAGAATTATTAAAATGCCCGATTAATTGAAAACATTGGTATGCATGCATTCTTCTCCTTCTAACAGCTCTCACCATTACAGCTTAGGCTGGCTCCAGCGGTTATAGGGTTAAAACGCTTCCAAGCGGCGCAGTTTGATACCATTGTCGACAGTAATAGAAGCCATTCTTTTTTCCATCGTCTAAGTCCATATATTGTTGGTCCATCTACGTTCAAAATGTTTTCTGATCGTATCAGTCCAGGTCTTGATTGGCCAATCTCGCTTTTGACGCCAACCATTGCATGACTTAGCAAGTAACGAAATATACGTCAACTTCTATGATGAACGACGCAGAACCCTAAACGGCGAAGGCGACAATCTATGATAGCATTATTTATGCAAGTAGTATTTGAATGAATATGGATGCGATCTTGTGATATCTTATCCGCTCGACATATCCGTAAATGCACCTTAGACAAGAGTGGTCAAAGGCAGATAATTTCTTAATATCCTCCACTCTCATTGGCCATGTCTCAGAACCATATAATAAAATCGAACGGATCACGGCAATATAGATGCGGACTTTCGTTTTTATGGTGATTTCACGATGGCTCCATGAAGATTTCGTCAACCGGAAGAACGTATTTCTAGCTGCCGTTATCCCGGTTGTAATATCCTCTTTTACTGGGCTCTTTTCGGTATTAGAGTGGACTCAAGATAATTAAAATCGGGCACTTCCTCGATCGGCAATAAATTTATAAAATGAGGCATTTTATCAGCTTTTTGCACATAAGACGAAAAGACTTTCGTCTTATTTTCGTCCTTATGTATTCGCATATAAAAGTTAAAAATCAAAAAAACTAAGAAACAAATATCGCTAAGAAAACGTGCTACCGTACTTTCGAATCAGTGGACTAAAGATTACGCAACCTAGGAGAATTTGATAGAATAATTCGATGAAATATTCCTTTTCATTATTTCAAATAACTGCATTTTCGTAAAAAACGTACAAAAACGTACAAAATGATAAAAATTCAATTAATCAATTTTCATATTTATATTTGATAAGAATTTACCAAAGAAATCAAATGCAAAATGATAAGTGATAAGAATAAATGATAAAATAAAGGTTCTATTTATATTCTAAAACTATTAAATTAAAATCAAAATCACCTAAATCCACCTAAATTATCAAAGGATTTTCTATATTCTATTATTTAATTAAATAATTATAATAATAATTATAAATAATTATTTAATTATTAATTATTTAATTAAATAACGATATTATGATAGATTTTATGAATAGATTTTATCCAGTAATATAAATGATAACTTCAACAATAGGATAAGATCATCGTTTTTTTTTCGTAGCATAAAATTTCTTTTATAAAATTGCTTATCATTTCTATTTAGATACGCTCCACTGATTTGCCAGACAAATTTTATCAGGAAGCTATTTCGAGAGAAAACACAGGTGAGTTAGTACCATTGAGCTTGTGAAAAACAGACATTCCATCCGAAAGAAAAATCCTAAAATCGGCGCTCGGAAATCAGAGCAATAAATCCATTGAACCGGAGAGTAGCATAAGATATATAATAATCAATCATTACATAAACACTCATTCTACACTTCAATGAAAACATTCACAAGCGTTCATCTCAGTGAAATATTTATTTCACCTTTAAAACGAAGCAATGCTAATGGCCAATCTATAACACTGATGGCCAATCTATAACACTGATGGCCAACCTATATTACTGACGGAAAATGCACAATGCCGATAATCAATTTGTCCTTTTATGCCCAAAAATTGCGATTTGAAAAGCTTTAATTTTCAAAAATTCAATTGAACAAATAACAATAAAAAATTTTTAGAATAATTAAATTCATTAATGATAATCGTTCTCAAAAATTATTCGAAACGAAAAATGCAATCAAGCGTGAATGAACAGAAAATTCCGATAAAAATTTGACATTTCTTCGAAAAAAAACAATTCAGAATTCAAGAAAAAAAAAACACAACGCAGTACTTTATTTTATCAATTTGGCTTGCAGTACAATAAAAAATAATACAAACAGAAAATTTTGTAAAATTCTTTTCAAGTTATTTATATATTTCTTAAAGAAAAAAGAAAAACTATATTTTCAATTTGTTTTTTCTCTTCATTTTCAACTAAATTTTTTAGAATATTATTAGAAATAAATAAATTTGAAACTAGAAAAATGAAAAGCAAATTTTTAAAAATTTTTAAATATAAATTTTTATTCGATTTTTTTTTTACATTTATGAAATGCTAAAATAGCAGATTTCATAAATTCTTTTAATAAATACTTTGGCTTGCAATTTTAAAAATTAAGGTAAAAATGATTGCGTGTAATGCGCTCGATTAATTATTTCTATTAATAAATTATATAATTTATTTATTGATTTATTTATAATTTATTTATTTATTAATAAAAAT